TACTAAATTAGTCTTAAACAATACACAATATACCAAATACAAATAATTGTAAAACTTGAACCTATCTTATTAAGCCTGTACTTTACATATAAACTGGAAATTTATACCCAAAAATATATAAATTGAACAATACAAATAGCTTCCAGTTGAATCTAAAGTTTAAAATGAAAGTTCAAAAACCTTACGAAACGGCAGCGGAATAGGGGACCATCCTCTTCGTCGTCTGTCACTCATAAGTTATTGTGTGCTTCGACGCCGGCTGGTTCCCTTCCTCGATGGGCTCAGCGTCGAGGCGACGCTGAACAGTTTCCACGACGGATATGAAATCGGTGGGCGAAATAACTGTCTCTTCTCTACCCTCCTGAGTGGGACCAGTTCCGCATCATGAAACATCAGTTACATCGTGGTGCCATGTTTGACCTTGGAAGTGGGCTGATGAAATCCACGCAAAGTACTGCCATCGAATTTGATACCTGTCTTGTCAGCATGCGACAAGCCGGCTTGAGTTATTTGCTTGTCAACTTCTGGCAGACCTCACAGTACTTCAAGTACTTGACAGCGTTGCGATTTTCTTCACGCCTTGATGTCCGGCGTGGGAGCATCATGACACTCCTGTAATACCCTCTGCCATTGACCACTGGCCATACAGGACCACTGGCTTCCAGCTGCCCTTATTGTCCGGGATTTTGACTGGCTTTTTGGTGACCCTGGAACTCATATTCATGACTTACTTACAGTGGGCCTCGGCCACCACTGCCTGCTGACAGGTTTCTAAAGGATGCATTGACAGTTCATCAGCCACGTCGCTGGGGTGGACATCAAACTGAAACTGTTGTTGTTCCGGTGCCCATCGCGCGATCCTCTCCGAAAGGCTCTCGATCGAGTTGTGTCACTTGAGTGCCAGATGACCCATTGTCATGTCAAACCGGTACCCCTCTAGGTAGCAACAAAACTACCAGATCGACCATAACTTTGCCAGACATTCGCTCTCGGTGGAAGAATAGTTCACCTCAGCTTTCTGCGTCAGCACTGCGCCGATGCCTTACTCATTGCCGTCAGTCAGCAAGACGAATTTGGCGGAAAAGTCCAAACAGGCCAACACAGGAGCCTGTGTTCCTTCAATTAACGCAATGCCACCTGCTGTCCCATGCCCACTTGCGCGCTCCTCTAGGAGTGCCGTTGAGGCTGTACCTGCGTCGCCAAACGAAGCGCCAGCACATTGCCGCAATTCCTTACTATTAGTAAGGGCTACGTATCGCCTCCGCCTTCTCCGGTGGCAAATGACATGTCCCAGACAGACCAGCCCCTCCCTAAGGAAGCTGCATTTCTATTCAGCCTGAGATTAACCGCCCCCAACCATCGGAGCTCCTTCCTCAAATTCTTTATATGTTGCTCTTTCGTGGTTCCAAATGGTATCGCTCACTATTGGAAATGTCTCTTCCTGGGACTGTGCACGGCATACACTTTTTACTATCGGATGCCATTGGTATCACCAAATACCTGTCCTTCAAATCTAAGGTAGAAATGATGTGAATAATCCGGGGGACAGGATAAGCATACGAGGGTCAGGATAAGCACCCTAGATGGAATGCGCATTGAGTTGTCGGTAATCTGAATCTATACGGTCCAGGCACCTGCCTTAATCAGTTCATCTACCTGTTCATCGATCACCCTATGCGTGTCTTCGGACAATACATTTGCTTCAACGGCTTGTCATTCATCATTAGGATCTTGTGCTCCGCGATATGCCAGGCCCCTCGTTGACCCTCGAAGGGTGCCAGTTCCAACTCCAGGAGCTCCCTTGGTTACGGATCCAGATCCGTTATCCACTCTGCCCCTTTGGGCTGGGTTTACCCTGTGTCTCGCCTTTTCCGTGTACCGCTCCGATTCCAGCTGGATCTCCATGATTGCTCCTGTCTAGTAGCTGCTCACGTTGCCCTGCGTCCGTGTGGATCCTGGCCACTGCTTGTAGTTTCTCTGTTCCCTATCACATTTGCGCCGTGCCACCTCTATGACCAGCATAGCATAGCATAGGTGGTAGCACAGCATCTGTCACTGCAGCTCAACGAGTCCCCTTTTTGGCTCGACCCGATCCCTAGTGAGGTTCCTTTTTCGCTCCTTCCTTCACCCTTGCCCTTTCCCGTTGGTTGCCGAGCAACCGTTCTTTGAGCTTCCGTTTCGTGTCATCTTCATTCGGTTGTCGAGCCGGTGCTCCCATCCCTGACATGACCTTCCTCCTTGGTGTCTTTTATATTCTGTTGCCGAGCAGGTGCTCTCTATTCCTGACTTGGGAGGCCTTCCTTCGGATTCTTGTGCGTATCTTCTGCACACGGCTGCCGAGCAGGTGTTCCCTTTCACTGACATGGGAAGCCCTCTTTCGGCTCTTCGCTTTTATGAATCCCCGCGATAAGTGCTACCACCATCTTCCGACTACCAGTGTTCACCCATTTGCTAGAAGTATGCGCGTCTGCACGTCCTCCGGTCTTTACGAATTGCTCACAACCATATGCAATCATAATGCTGCGAGTAGCTACGGTGTGTAGCGACGATTTGACCACCCTTTACCTTCAGTGTGTCGGCATCGACCGTATCGTGATCCCGACGATACCGTTGCCCTATCTCCCGCCTCCGTGCGACGACAACAACCCTGGCTACTCGTGCCCCGATTCCCGCTTCGAAGTCGCCCTCCTGTGCGCACCTACGACATGCTCGCCGTCGATCGTACCTGGTTCCGGCTGTTTGCTCATCATCTTATGGGCAACCTCCACAGGGGCCACTATTGGCGAGGCGGAGACCTTTCTATCCCAACGGTCGCTCCGGATCTACTGGAAGTAGACCGGAGTGGGTTAAGGTGTCCTCCTGTGGGCTGTTCTGTCCTCCCCCATTCTGCGCAACTCGAACCCATGGCCACTTGACTCCCTGACCCACAGGCATCATCGTCAGCTGGAACAAGATGGGGAAATCTTGCCGTCGCACGTAAAGCCTGTATTCGGGGGCGGAATTCTCGTATATCCGGTGCAACTCCTTCGCCGGCTCATATCTGGCGTGATGCTCTATCAGGTGTTCCTTGAATTCCTTCCTTCTCTGAAATTATTATACACTATCTTACTCCGTTTCTCTACGTAAAGGTCCTGCCGCACAATCTGGCGTTCCTAACGTTCCGATTAGAGACACATTGTTGCTGCGACGGTTGGCGGTTTAATTCAAAGTAAAATTATGTGGGGCTTCATACCCGTATCTGACTACAACCATTCGGCACCATGCCTTTAACAACGCTTGCATACAATATAATGCTTATATACCATCGATATTAAAAACGGCTCCTTGCCTTCCTAACTACAAATATTATGATGCTTCTAAATAAACAAAACAATAGAATAGGTCGATAGGTAGTCTTTGGGAATTCAGTCATGGCTGATGAATGGGATTGCGTTTGAGATGCTGACGCAGCGTCAACACTACCACCGACGCGTCCTGCAAAAGTCTGAGGAAGTCAGAAGGTGGGTGAGGACACTACGAACTACGTGAAAATAGCTGTACGGGAAACTCCAGAGGGAGCGCTATGGTGGCGGAAAAGGTACGTTCGGGGAAAAGAATACTTGGCTGTCTGTAATTGTAGCTTGCGAATAAAATCTAGCCGTACTTGGTGGCGTGAGCGATTGGCAGACCTCCTGCGCTTGGTATTCGTATTCGTAGTTGGAAAATATCTGCGATACCCCAGCCCCCAGCACCATGGAAACTTTAGATGAAGGGTATAAGAATTTATCGTGTGCACTCGTCTTCATCTACCTTACTGGAGTGACGCACTCAATCTAATGATCCAGTTGGAGGACGACTTACAATTAAAAAATTATCGTTTTCATCTTCATCTACCTTACTGGAGTGATGCACTCAATGCACTCAATCTGAAGGTCGAAGTCCAATCGAAAACTTATTGTTTTCCTGATCGCTGCCGTGCGATCCGTTGGTTTCCACTGAGTGTGATGGCAAGACGCCATTCCCATGGGAAAGATGCACTGATGCGGGAAACTGGCTTGCACCGATTTACCAGAACGCGAGTCTCAAAAGTTAAGACCTGTTCTGGATGATCACAAAGGCGGACGGCATGATTATGGAGCTTTTGTGCACACAGATTGTAAAATTCCCAACCTACTTTGCCCAGTAGATCCTCCACATCCCACATGCCGCTTTGGCAGCGATTGCTTCTTGAGTGGAAACCAATGAATTCGATTATCGATGTTGGCACTGGACCGGTAAGAGTCCATCTGAAATAATTTTCCTGCACGAACGGTGTACCGCAGATATTGAATTGGAGTCCATCGAGCGATATCGATGGAAAGTCGTCTGCACCAAGCAGTACATCAATGTGTGCACTTTTGGAGAAGAATTGATTAACTTATTAAATGTCTGCCAGGATGGCAAATCGCCCTCTACATTTTTAGGAACATACGCAGATACCTTTATTCAATTTCCGGTTCCTGTGGGTGGAGCGAGGAGGAAGTGGCACAGAACATGTTAATGATGGCAGTGTAAAGTAAAAGCACTCCCTGGATGCTGGTAGCAGAATAGCTTTGCATATTGACTTGGAGTTTCCAGGAACTGGACTGTAGACCTTATTGACCCCTTTGACTATCGGATCCAGGAGAATTAGCAATTCCGTTGGAAGGGTATAACAGTTGCGAGATCCTTGATATTCGTGATGGTGATGGTCCTTGCAAACCAATTTTGAAACAACTTCGACCGCTTCAAGTAGCCATTTATCAAGTAAGGTTAACATGTCCTGACCGACGTAACTAACTGTTGTCGTATATAACTTTTTCAATAGCTTTTACACCCAAAATAGTAACATGATTTTATTTCTTGAGTTTCAATTTGATTGTAAATTTGTTAAAAGCTACGGAAAGCAAAGAAAGGGCAAATAAATGATTATTACAGGCAAATACAAACATTAAAATTTAATAAACGAAATATATTTATGATGTTTTTTGTTTGTTTTTCAGACAATATGCTTACGCATATTTTTCTTATAAGCGCTCTGACTGCGGCATGTAACTGCTTAGAAAATGGATTAGCAAGAACTCCTCCAATGGGATGGTTATCTTGGGAGCGGTTTCGTTGCAATACAGACTGTTTAAATGATCCAGACAACTGTATAAGGTATGTTGATATAAAATAAACTATTATATAATGTAGTGGACATTTTTGCAACTTAACATATCTAAGAGCGTAGGTGTAACAACAAAATTCAATTAGATAATTTTCGTTTATTAAAACTAATATATAATTTATTGGAACTTATTAGAACTAAATAAGATTGTAATTGTTATCAACATTAAACTTGAAAAGTTGTGCCGAAATTATCATTAACAAAGCTGATATAAAAGACTGATTCTGACCGCTAACTGAGACGGCCAGCGCATGTAAATGCAGTAAGCAAAGGGTCAGCCTAAAAGATTGGGAAGTTGAGTGCACAGAGGGATGTAAATTTATTTTAATTATTTTTTTGCTTGACCAAACATTTAGCGGTATTTTATTCATTCGAGGAGAGTAATTTGTGCATATAAGTTGACCAAACGTGGAATATGACATTTATATTTTACAAAAGCCATCATTACCTGCATTACCCTTTTATAACCAGCGAGCATCTGTTAAATGTCCCATTCAAGTTTGGTGTCGATAGAGCAGTGTATAAAGAAAGAAAATGAATCATCACACAACAGTGATTCTGCAAACACTGGCTCACGTCAAACACAAAACAATAGTAAAATATGGTTCTACACCCATAAACTTTGCTCTTTCACATACAAACAACTGCAGTAACGGAAATTGGAAACCCCAAAAACATGAATTTTTTTGAATATTTAGACATTGATAATGCTAAATGGTACCCGAAAAAAACTATAGGTATTCGTATCTAGCTTCTATAGGTTCTGCGATCCTTGCGTTCACACATACGGGTGGACACACAGTAGGACATGGATCGACTAGATTGATTCCGCTATTGATGCTTCTGCCTGTAATACAATATACCCTCTTTATCAATTCTTAATGGTTTCAGTTACATTATATAAACGAACTTGAGCTGCCCAATAATTTAAGCAGAAATTTTAATATGAAAATATACGAATATTTAGAAGAATTAGATCTACTGTTTAAAATGCCGTTAAGATTAAGAAATAAGGCTAAGAAACACAAGGAGTTATGAAAGAATAATTGTTTTGGCTGGCCACGTGCTTGCGGCAGCTAGCGCAAATTGCAGGAATTTTCCGCAAAAATGTAGACACACACATTCATGCATATTTTTAGTGAACTCTACAGCATTACAATTCAACAGCAGTACAATTGGAGTTGTATTTTTCTCTATGCTGAGTGTAAATTAGTGCATGTATGTCTGCAACTTTGAGATTGCTGGAGCATTAAAAAATTCATGTAAAAAATGAGTTAACTAAAGGGAGATTTCAATAGACGATACGTCGCGCTTTTATTGTTTCCAAACTTAGACTGAAGAATACAATTTTTATTCAGTGGTTAACTACTCCCCCTCTCGAAGACCGATCCTACTTGATGCCGCTACTACCGGGAACCGATTTTGCACGCTCTTGCGATTGAAGTATCGCGCGCCATTTACGGTGGCATAACTAAGTTGATGTCGTCGTCTATTATGGTGACAAGGAATAAGATGACTCCGCTACATTTGGCAATAGGCTCTACCCCCAACATGGAGGCCCTGTGCGCAGCTCCTGCTCTAGGACCGCTTGCAGAATGTGTGGTAGTTGCAGCTTGTGAACAATTAGCTACGGCCAACATGTGCCCGTCGCAACCACCAGACTGACACAGATTTCAAGTAAAGAATCATTGTGGGTGACTGGGAAAATAATTATCTTCCTGCATTGCTTGCTTACTATGGGGAACTTGATTATGAAACATTTGATTATCCTTATGATTTGGTCAGTGAGAATTTTCATAAGATCAGAATGATCTATTATTGTAGAGTTTATTAAATTTATTTTTCTAAGGTTAAAGTAAGCATAAGGTTTCCTATTTCGGTTATCATCATTTTATTTCGTGTGCAAGAGGTGGCCGGTATCGGTCTGCTTATCTTTTGAGGACTTAATTATTCTGTTAGCAGTGTGGGTCAGTTGATTAATCTTTTTCTGCCTCCTAGAATTTATAGAAATTTGTTTATTGCTTGCAATGACCATATGAGATTGTGAAACCATTCCCGTCAGATTGATAGTCCATAATTGGTATGTAGTCGCGTGAGAGTAGTCCGTCACCCTGTCCTTGTGGACCACCCTCCCCTTAATAAGGACCCTTGTCCCCAAGTCCTCTTCAACTTTTTGTTCGACACACAAATGCGATAGCTTGTTGCCTTATCTGCGATTTGTCTTTACAATGATTTTTTCACCTTCTTCAAAGACTTTGTTCTGGTGCCTTTGGTTAACGGTGGAGTTCTGCTGAAATTGGGCCTCTGTATCCTATCACTTACCTCGCGGGTACCTGCCAGTGAAGAGTTAAGCAAGATATCATTAGGCCTCTTCTCAACCACTCAACCACTGGATTGAGCTGTTTTAGTCAATAGTGGCCTGCAGGATGAGGTCGACTATGTCAACTTTACCCCATTGGAGGCTTAAACACCTGGCTATTTTCAGCAGTGCGCTGTGAATGCATTCTACCTGCCCATTTGACGTGCTACGAAGGGGGGCGCGTTTAGAGAATTTGTCAACGCAAGTTAGAAAGAAATTTTCGTCCGTGGAGAACATTTCAACTTTACCAACTTCTGCTGGAAATTGGCCAAGATTGGCCTTTATCGATTCGATGAGGGCGACCATATCAGTAAAGTTTATCAAATGGCGAGTTTTTTCGCCGAAAAGTATGAAATTCCTTTTTAAAGGCTTTTTTGTCGTGAGAGGCTGGTGATCACTGAAAACCGTACAGAAAGTGCCGCAACTTACATAATACTCAGACGATGGCAAGCAACTCCCGCTCGTTGGTAGCATAATTTGCTTCCCTATCTTTTAAGGAGCGGGATATCATAAATATGGGAAGATCATTTTGCAGCTCGACAGCACCTGTGCCATATGCCGAAGCGTGTGTGGTCAAGTCAAATAGTTTTTTATAGTCCGGGTATATCAGTATAACGACCGCCAACTCTAATATGTTCCTAAGCTACTGAAATGCATAGGAATGTATAGGGACCTTTCTAGGCTTGTACTTGCTAATGTATGTTTTTTCCCCTTTTAGGATGTCAGACATTGGTTTTGCTATTGCTGCAAAATCTTTGATTAAACAGCGGTTATAGCTTTTTAATCCCAAAAAGAATTTTAGTTTAAACACCGTAGTCGGCTCAGCGTATTCCCGAAAGGCTTTTACCTTCTCTGTATATTACAATGCTCCATCTTATGTCACTATAAGGCTGAGATACTCGACGCTTTCTTTAAAATAAACTGTGACTTCTCGCGCACATTATCGCATATAAAAGGCTGCTTAATACCCAATCGACATGCCTGACATGCTCCAACTCGATTTCTGAAAACACGATGACGTCGTTTACATAAACGTACCAGAACGTCATCTATGGTTCTCTGAAAAATGTTCGCTGCACTTTCAAGCCAAAGGGAAATTGACAAAATTCGTACTTTCTATCATTGATCGAAAAGACCGTCTTCTCACGATCTTGCTCTACCAGAGTAATCTGGTGATTGATTACCTGTTTTCCGGTTGAGCATCGTGAAATATTTGGGTTTATCCAGATTAGCCAGTATCATTGTGATACTTGGCATTTTTATTTCTCGGAAACAGTATTGAGGTTGAGCTTCCTAAGGTCTATCACGAGACGATAATTTCTATTACCTAACTCATCTGTACCTTTCTTATTGACCACCCACTGCGGATAATTGTATGGTGATTTAGACTTTTTGATTATACCATTTTTTAGTAGTTCGCTGACGTCTGAAATGACACAATGCTCTACACCTCTAGGGTAAGGGTATAGCTTTAAATAGACCACATTTTCGTCGGTCGTACAGATCGTGGTCACAACAGCCGTGTTATAAAGCAGCGCCTTCTAAGAGTCCGTAAAAGCCATGTTGTTTCGGTGAAGCACTCTCAGGAAATCTGCTTTCACCGCAGGGGGTGCGTCGACTTCTGTGTTCTTCTTGTAATTGACGTTCGCACATTTGTGGTACTGCAACGCTTCCTAAGTCGCTCCAAATATTAATATACTTTACTTTCCAACCATATAATTCCATAAAAAGTAAATAAGGAATCTATTAAGATAAATTATCGCACCCAAGCATGGATAACTTGCATTTTTCAGCGATGCGGTTGGACCCATGAATGGAATGGACAACTAAAGGAAACTCGTCAGGGATGACGCCTTTGAGGGGCTTGTGCGGCCTGATGTAATTTTGTACCACACCCGTCTCGATTAAAAATTTCATATCTATCCCCTCTATTCTCCGTCAAATTAACGGTAGCAGGGATGTATTTTAGATGTAGGTCCTCCTAGTGCCTGCGCAGATCGAGTTTGTTTCCGATTATTGATAACTTGCCCCGTTTCCAAGTTATCGATAAAATCGATATCGAAACATTGTTTTTTTGGCCATTTTGGTAAATAATCAAAGCTAGAGTCATCAAACTTGAAATGTATATATATTTGCATTTGATGTTGGAAGAAGACAGTTCAGGGTATCCCCTAGTCGGGAACTAAAGTCTTTACCGTTCATAACTGTAACCGTCCATGCCAGTGTGCAATGGCTTATAACACTGAAAGACATTAGTGGGAGACTCGCTCGCTGGTCATTGGGTCTTCAAGCATTCAACTAAAACATCAAACATTGCAAAGGCAAGGAGAATATCGTGGCGGACATGTTGCCTACACCATTTGAGATTGGGGGAGTTGAAGTATTCGAGAGTTGATGTGTTGATAGCGAGGAGTATTGAAAAGGCTAAGGGTTGTCAAGGAGCAGACAAGCAAATTTTCGGACTTACGGATCGTGGAGGGGCTTTTATTTAAATGAACCCAGTTCAATATTTACTTTGACTCCGAATCAACAGAGTATTCGCTCACGGATCTACTTCTGTAAGTGTTCCGCTGTCGCCCTCCTCATGGGAACCAATTCCACTCACTTACTGAACGCGTAGAGGAATACCAGCAGTGCTGTTTTCCATGCTTCGATTGTGTTAAGGGGCCTACGAAGAGGGCATAAGGGATGACCCACGGTGCCTGGCTCATCAGCGTCCGTCTTGCCGGTCTCATCTGTCCTACCTTAAATTTTTGGCACACCTCGCAGCATCTTACATACTATTCGAGAGATCATTCCTTGATGACATTGGCACTCCTGCAGAACTCTCTGCCGATAATTGCCGGCGACAAACATTTTCTATGCGCCGTAGTCCTCGTCGTCGGCTCTGTGTCGTATGTGACCTTTTTTTTCTCCACTGAGTAATCCGTGTACTTCTCAGGCTCGTTAGCAACTTTGGACCGCATGTATGCGGTCCATTCGCAGAAAGGCTGCTCTTCTACGGCTGAAGCTGGTCATCCACGCTATCTCCTGGGTAGCGCATCTGCAACCACTTTCAGCCCCCATCGCCGGTTCTGCTCGTCAAACTGCTGCAACTCTAGGGGCCATCGAGCATTCCTTCCAGATGTACTTTCTCTCTCTCATTAAGCCATTTGAGTGGCTTGTGGGAGGTGATGACAAGCCAGTATCCCTCCAAATGAAACCTTAACGGAACGACCATACCATAGCGAGACACTCCTTTTCCGGGGCCAAATAGTTGATCTCTGCCTTCAAGAATTTCGTACCGGCGTACGTGATAACTTGCTGCTCTTCACGATGGTCTGCGTAAGGTCGGCGCCGAGGTCATGATCACTCGCGTCCGTCTGCAGCATGAAATCCTTGCTGAAATCAGGGCAGGCTAGAATCGGTGCTGTGGCGAGTCGCTCCTTAGGTTGTTTTAACTCAGCCTGATTCTCCACACCCCACGACCACACCTTCCCCTTCTTCAGGAGAGCGGTCATTGGCTGCACTACTGACGCAAAATTGGGCTCGAAGCGTCGATACCAAGAGCTTCTTGTGGAAGAAATGACATATCGCCTGGTCTAGCATCAGAAACACTTCCTTAAAGTTGGCCAGGTGCTGCTCTTTGGTCGCTCCTATGACGATGATGTCATCCAGATAGGCAAAGGCGTGGGGCAAATCGAAGGGCATCACCTTCCAGTGGTATTGACCCGACCTGATACCGTAAAAGCTGTGTATTGTTTACTCCCTTCCTACATAGGTGTCAGCCGCTATCCCTGCTTGAGATCGAGCATTGATATGTAGCGTGTAGCGCTGACGCCGCTGATCGTTTCGCTGTGCTGGTGCCACAATGCGTGCAGAAAATGACCTGTAGATTGGGAAATTCTTTCTCAAAATGACCCTGTTGCTATAAGCCACGATTGACCCACCGGGAGTCGCCCTGACAACCGGCGGTAGAATTGCTCAGAACGGTTTGTTCAGATGTCGATAACGGCTACCCTACGCCCAGATGTGAGCTACCCCCTAGCCGAGATAGCTACGCCGGCCATCTGTATGAACCGGGCCAAGACGAGAAGACTTTTCCCCAAATTAACGAAACTGCGCTCTCGTACATCCTACTCTATTCCCTTTCAGGGCTCTAATCAGGTCTACTACATATTGTTTAAATCTTTCGTCACCTCGTTGGCGGCAGGTCCGGATCTCGTCTGCTAGCTACTCGAAGTACCGCAGAGGCAGGGAAAATTCTAGACACTGCGCATCATGAACCCCAGAGGGGGCCGCCGACCATGACCTCATTCTTTGTCCTTGGCAGGCTGTCTACGTCGATGTTGTATGATATTTATTTATTATTAATGGTCGACAAAACGAGTGTCTTCCGCATTATTCAATAGATAATACAATAGATAATAGAATTATATGCTACAAGCCTAGTTAAAGAAAACAATTTTCTAAATAGCATAACCGACCGATGGAGGTGTTTTATTTGCCAGTCCGGCCAGCTGTGCCCCTTTTCACAGCTAATTTTGTCAGTGACGCTATTAGAGCCTACATCTAAGCAGAAGGTTGTAAGTTCGAAAAACGTATTCTTAATTAAAATTAAATTAACTTAAAATTAAAAATAATCTCAATTTTCTATATTAATAAAGAAAATACAATAAATAGGAAAAAATAAGGTAAGAAGATTGTTAATAAAGTAAAGCAATGTAAGTTAGATAAAGAGTGTTAAGTAAATAGGAAGAAATGGGCCGATCCTCCATGGCTTCCACAAAGGACAGCTGATTAGTTTTTGCCCATCAAATCGAATACCCCATTCCTTAACATGCTCGGGTACGATGAAGAGTGCTCTTGTTCCCGACTCGTTTATTTCATTGTCCGCTTCGCGGGCAATATAGCTCGGGATCGCTGGAACCTCAAACAAGTCAGGTGTGTTCAGACGAAGGCCGGAATCTAAATCGGATTTTGACCGCCAATCCCATTCTGTGAGATCGGGGGTCGGGGATCGTGTATATTTGGCCTCCAACTTGGCTAGTCGAGTCTCTATTTTGGACGAGAGCGAACCCACGAAAAAAAAGCTTGCTAACTGACGACCCAAGTCTTCAACCCACCCTAGCTCACTCAGTCAGAACCTTTTACCGCCGCAGGTGAATCTACCGTACGCCCACCCCTGGATTTTGTCACTCACCCTAGTCTGTTCCTCTTTCGCTTCTTATTCCTGGATACCTGGATATTCTTTCCTTCCTTATTGGGTTGCGCTTGTTTTCTCTTTTATTTAATAATTCTTTTACACTGTATTTATTTATGAAATTGTTAATTTTTTTGCTCGAATTGTATTTCGTTGTTGTTGTCGTTGTTGTTTTTTTCGTTTCGTTGTTTTTTTTTTCCTACTTGTTTTATATTATTATATTTTATTATATATATATATATCTTTGGCACGAAAGACTCGCCAATGTTCGCGAACAAACGCCTTTACGTATGGGCGTGTGTTTGTGTGTGAGCCTCTAACACTTCTTTATTTCAATTTATAAATTTCATGTGTCTTATAGGTTCTGAGATCCTTTCGTACATACACACGGACGAACGGACGGAAAGTGAGAAAGATATAGATAGACGAACCATTTAAATGGATTTTTATTGATTCGAACATAAATAAATCATAAATTATGATTGGTTGCCAACACTGAGTTACTCAATGTTCCTGCAGACATAGAAGCAGAGGTATATATCGCCAGTGTCGATCACTGTTTGAGATCTGGCTATTCATAATCAGCAGTCATAACTAACCTGTTCCTGGTAGGTTGGTTTGTTTTCGTGAAGTATAGCTCCTAATATGATGAATGGTTCTTATTTTAAATGTATGTGCGTATGTATATCTAGGCTGGCCGCCTACCTCCCCGAATGAGCTGAACCCTCGCCTTTCATGACCATATCTACAAGAAACCGTGAGCAGTGTCAGGCTTTTATAATTTGACTCTTCGTTTGTTATAAAAGTGTCACACTGCAAATACATTATAAAACAACAATTTAAAGTTAAAGCATAAACAAAATAAAATTTGTTATTAACAGCGACATTATAGTTTAATTTAAGTATTTTGTTAGTTATTTCACAGATAAACCTGTAGAGACATTTTAGACCGTTAATGATCAATGAAATCCGGAGAGTTGAGAGCTTTCGCAAGCAACCATTTTTTTTAGAAGAAGAGAGTTAATTGGAAATTACGTGGTAACAAGGGATACTAAGCACGTCGGTTTGTGCAATATTTTCAATTTCGTTCTTAACATTATATTTTTGATCTGGCGCTTTTCGCTGTAACGATCATTTATTACCCTAGTATTAAATTATGCTAAAGCCTCGATGATGCGTCTCAAGTTAGTTAAGTTTGTTCACTTCGAGCAGTTGATAGGCATCGGCCAATTGTATTATTTAAATATATTAAATACTAATCAACTAATTGACGTTTTGCTGCAATCGGCACGCACCCATTGGGGTTCGCCTTTGTAAAACTATTGTTATTGAATAATAAGCACAGACTAATTCGGGGCTGCCTGCTTCTCTAAAGTTACAACAAATATGCAATCAAATTAAAACACAAGAAATAAAATAAGGTCAATCATTTCTATTTATGAAATCTATAAAAAAGATCGATAGCACAATAGTCTACAAGGGTATTAAATCTTCGGAATACCGAAGAAGATTTAAGGTATTCCCTTTTCCTTGTTTTGCTTGTGTAATAATTTTAGTATGGTACAACCTGCAAAAGCAACTACATTGAGAAAACCTCGATTGATTCATTTTTAAATAAAATACAACTTTCTTTATACTTTATTTTAGTGAACGACTTTTTCAAAAAATGGCCGATCTTCTTGTGTCGGAGGGATATGCATCTGTGGGATATGAATATGTTAATATTGATGACTGTTGGTTGGAGAGGTATCGTGGACCTGATGGAAAACTTCTATCTGATCAAAGGCGTTTTCCTAATGGAATTAAAGCATTGTCAGATTATGTATGTATTTATTTATTTTCGATCATAGATCATTTTACTCTCCCAAGCAGTGGTTAAAGCAAGAACATTGATAAGTTCTAAGGAAATTAAATGAAATAAGACTTGTAAAGAACAAACAAAATAACATTACATTCACGTTAAGCAACCGAACAGCCTTTACTTTTTATATGTTTCTTAAATGATCTCCCTTCTGTTACACCATCACATGCTTATGTATTGCCGATCATGTTAAACTTATTCTTTTCAATACGGATTCCTACGTCACTAAACGCTCTGTTTGTTGTTTGGCCAATTAATTTCACCCAAATTATTTAATCGCACTAGTCTTTATCTTATTAGGTTGCAACGTTTACATAATTAATCACCTGGGGTTATGTTTTATTCTAAGCTCATCTTTAACCTTCATATAGTTGTATAGTTAAATTTTGGATGCAATCGTACTCCATAAAGATAATTTTTCTTTTTCTTCCGTCGTTAACCAACCAAAGGACAAACCATCGTATTGTTTTCCTACATAAGTTGGTTGTTGGCAACATATATTTTTATTTTCTATTAGGACGACTTCAATTCTCAGCTCCGTCCAGACCTACCAGGTATTATCGCCCTTTATTTTAACCTACGTGCACGACAGACTACGCACAATCCAATTCATGCATTATGCGAAACTGAACTAGACTACGTCAAGTATTCTCCGCTGAATTTTCTGTCCCCCTAATAAAATCATAGCTTAGCTATGAGAACCTAACCTAACCTACATAGTAAATACTCTCTATACTAGTATAAAATTTGCTACTTTTATTTTATAATGGTTCTCTATTTTTCCCTATTTGTTATATATTCCAAAATAATATACCCAACTAAATTTGTTTTTTGTAATTTTTACTTAAGAAATCTATATGCTATACTAACACTTTTATTCATAGCTGAAGACTCTTATAACGTCACTTTAAATAAAATGTAATATGCCTGTGTACCAAATACTTAGGTTGACATTCGTTTTGTCGGCCTTTAATAAATGTCGAAAGTCGGATCAGGATCGGTGACATCATAGATGTTTGACGGTGTGCACACAAATTCGCATTGGCTTTTTGTTGCGAATTCGCAACTTCCGAAACTGGCGGAATGGGCGGTCTGTGGGAATCCTCGACGGCTGATGAACCTTTGCAACGCCATTAAAATTGTATAAGTGTATAGTGATAGAGTCAACCTCTTGGGCCAGCATGACAATTCGTCAAGTGCAATTATCTAATAAAGCTTCTAGCGAATTGCGAGTTTTTATTCAGAAGTAGCGGAATCTTAGCATCATACGGAATAGGAGCATTTTTGCAAGTAGCCCCTACTCGCAACAACGGAAAAGATCACCAACATGCATTATACTCATGTATATATTGATTGAGACGCTGTAGGCTATAACCTACGCGCGTGTCCTTCCGAACTCTCTCTGTTATTTTTGAATTCAGCTTGCTGGATGACTTCAACTTTGTTCCCGAAAGCTTATTTTCTTTCGAGCGCCGTAGGGATTCAAATTGAACTAATTGATTTTAAAATGTTTGAATAGAGGGGAACACATGAGCAAACTGGTTATCTCGCCAGGATTCTTTTGGTTTGTTAAAAAATGAAGGCCCTTCCGAACCACATCGACGCATCGACCATTCGACAGAAATATTGTGAAAGACGAAGTCGATGACCAACTCCAATGAAGCGTGACTTCAGAAATAGATCAAAGAACCGTCCCTTCAAAGATCCGCGAGAAGGTGAGCCACGTACTACACAAATCGAGGGGGAGTCTTCCGCGTATGTTGGGTCTTTAAACATATATCGTGGTATCTGTATTTGTTGCAACTGAATCAAAGTTGATTTCGGTTGCTGCTATGGATTATCCAAGTTTTAGAGTAGAATTTTCCTCTTGATTATCAGAGAGCTTAACAGGCCAAGCTGGTCAAATAGCCACGATGTCACCGAGAGAATGTCCCCTTTTGTCGCTCTGAGACCCATGACGGAATTGTCTAGCTTCAATTGAAAAGCATCTTCATTTGGCAACCATATCACACCAAGTATTTTGGTTGTGTCAGACTATAAGATCGTTATCAACTTCGTTGCATTTGTAACAGCCAACTCAGGAGAATTCAAAAACCATTTGGTTATAGCAGGCGCTGTGCCGTAAATTACAGTGTTTAACCTGAAAGACCTCAGAGATTCAGATGGGTTATTTTGCCATACTGGAAGTCTCGACCTGCTTTATGCACCAGGGCCTGCCTATGTCAGCTGTCCATGCATATATGTGGGGTCCAAATCGAAGCAGACACGTATAGGTCATTCAACGCAATTTGAGACGGAAACCGACTATATTTCCGAATTGTCTAGAAAGTCTCTCACATAACTGCTGTTCAACTCTTCGTACTTTTTTGTCTGAAAGCCAGTCTTACAATGACAAAAAATCTACGTTTTTTGTATCGGATATATGAATTTTCTTGACAACTCCCGATTTGTCGCCATGTAAGCCTATTTTGCAGAACCGTATAATTCGGACCTTGTTTAATTTTGATGGCAAAGATAAGTTCAAAAAAAGTCCTAGCTCTTTTAAGCATCTTCCTGACTTAGGTAATTATATATATTTTTTTATTTTTTATTATGTATATTTGTATATATATTTTTAAATGTATTTGTATCAGAGTGTGACCATACTAAATTGATTAATTAATAACAAATTTTGTTCATGAGGATAGAACAAAATTTGTTTTTAACTGTTTTCTTATTTTTATTGTTTGAGATTACTATGTTATCTCTTTTGTAGTGTTTATATGCGTTAAAAGAACACCCTATATACAAATATAAAGTATGCGGCACTTTGTCGCATACAATATCAATTTTACATTAAACAAGCTCGGAGCCCCTTTATATATTGGCTCTGGCTCATATTACGCAGCGCAGTTCACTAGCCTCTCTAGCTGACTGTTTATGCTTACGCTGCACTTTCCACGCACCGTCTGAGCGCATTTCATGAGCAACATATGTGCTCACTAACACAGGCATATGCAAGCTACTCACTCTCCCTCTCTTTGTAGCTGTTAACCAATAATAGCATAAGTATTTACATGTATCCATAGGCTTAGTGCATTATATTTACTTTGAATAAAGATATTCTAAAAACCGAAGTCAATCAGCACTGACGTGCTTATGTTCTTATACATAAGTATTATACATATACACTTTCTCCTATTTCCGTTACAGTATACGGGCCTGTATATTTAAAATATAATTTATGTCCTGATTCGTCTCTAAATAAAACTTAATCTCTTATTGATATATCTATGTTTCTTGCTTGCTGATTATATATTTACTTATTCTTTTTCTTATGTTGTTCTATCATTATTATAGTCCTTTTATATGCTACTTCTAATTCATATTTACTTTCTTTTGCGTAGTCATCTATATTGTAAACAGCTTCTTTGTTATCTATATTATCTATACTATATTATCTATCTATACTATATATATACCAAATACTAGCTCGTATGGACAATAAGTATGTGCCATAGAGGGGGGTGTGTTGAAAGAGTAAACGAAATATTGAAGCCATACGTCCCAATCAGTTTTATCAACTGATATATATGATCGTATGTATGCATTAAAAGTTCAATGACGTCTTTCGACTGTTCCAACTGTCTGGTGGTGGTGTACGGCAGATGTTATATTTTTAAGTTTTAAATATTTGTAATCAGTAATTATAGAATTTTTATATTCTGTCCGTAATGACCGCCTTCATTGAACCGTACTTCAGAATAAAAGATTGATGCCTAGCTTTAGCGACAGTATGTGCGCTTTTGTTTGCTATAGGTATGGCAATAAGATATTTTGTTAAGTCACATATCATATTCACTATCTTTCTCTGATTTTGGCAGCGGACCGACCGTGTCTACTATTACTCTATCAAAAGCATTGATTGGGACTTCTGTTATAGTACTCAGCAATATATCTGGTCATACCTTTCCAAAAATAGTGTGTTTTGACCTTAACCAAGGTTTTTGTAATACCTGTGTGACCTCCTTGTATTGGATCATCATGATATGTAGACTGTATATCTTCTTTTTTCATTAGGGTCACCGGGTTGAGTAGCGCTACTCTTAATTTTGTCAATATTTTATTGCCCATTTGTTCGACATTATCAATTGACTGTGCGGACTGTAAAATGTTTGCCATAAATATATGGTCGTAAATGTGTAATTGCCCAGTGTATTGCTGCTAATTCCTTTTCTGTTGTACTTTTATTACATTCTCCCTTAGTAAATGAAAGTGATGCATAAGCAATCGGGAGTTGGAGTTCATTATGGTTTTGAGTTAAAACCGCTCCACAAGCTTGCTTACTTGCGTCAGTTACTATGCAAAATTCTTTGCTGAAGTCTGGGTATTGTAGTAATATTAAGTTTATTAGTGCCGATTTGAGATGCTCGAAGGCATGCTGGCAGTCGGCTGTCCATTCGAACTTAACTTTTTTTTGCATAATCTTGTTATACTGAGGTATACTGTTGTTGTTGGGTATACTGAGTTGCCATTTTGCTCTTTTGCTGCAGATTAAGGAGTTTGGAGATATAACATCTACAGATTCTCCTTTAAAAGCTTTGGATTATTGATTAATAATGGCAAGCATTGTTTGCTTATTATTTATCAAATTTCTAGCATGGCCTTTAAGTTGAGTCTTTATGATGCTTTCAGCTGTTGGTTCATGAGTGCCTTTTAAGGAATCGATTACATTCAATGCATCCAAGAAGCTTTGTAGTTCTTCGGCTTTTCCATCGAACTCTGCTAAGAGTGAGGAGGCTAATTTGAAGAACTCTACAACTGTCTGCGTTTCCTTTCCGTTGAATTTATCAAAATTGACTGATCGAACGTTACCGGTCTGATTAGTACAGTTGTTAAATAAAGCTTGAGATCATACTTTTTATTTAGGTTTACCAGATTATCCCTTAGACGTTGTAAAACGTCTGAAATTTGGACCCTGTGTAAACCTCACGGCTTATGTTACTAAGCTCCTGATTTCATTGTATTCATATACTAAAATCTCAGTGTGCTTAATTATGGTCGGTTACAAAACTGGTGCACTTTTATTTAGGCACTTATAGGATTTATCGAAAATTGATCTGTGCAGCTTTATTATACCCTGAACCCATTAAAAATGTGCAAAATCCAAATGTATGTAAAGGGCAGAAGGAAGCATCTCCGACCCCATAAAGTATATATATTGATCAGCACCAATAGCCGAGTCGATCTAGCCCTGTCCGTCTGTCTGTCCGTCCGTCCGTCCGACCGTACGTATGTATGAACGCAAGGATCTCAGAACCTATAAGAGCTAGAGACTTGAAATTGTAGATGTAGGTGCTCCTAGTGCCCGCACAGATCGAGTTTGTTTCCGACAATCGATAACTTACTCTGTTTCCAAGCAATCGATAAGAGTCGATATCGATATCCTGTTTTTTTGGGCAATTTTGGTAAATAATAAGGCTAGAGTCACGAAACTTGACATATAGCTTCTAAAATAGAATATATATATGCATTTAATGTTGGAAGAAGAGGGTTCAGGGTATCCCCTAGTCGGGAGCTCCCGACTAGAACCTCTTACTTGTTTTTTTTTACTATTTGGTGCCATTTCATGTGGCTCTGTCTTACTAAACATCGTTGCTGATCCCGAAATTGGGTGTTCTTCAGTAACTAATTTTACTGAAACATATGGGAACGTTCTTAGTATGATTCCCCTTTCGATTTTTGGATAATGTATCTTTGAAGCCATAGGATTATTGAACATGAACACACTTTCATGAAGTCGCAGCACGTTTGTTTTTATTTTATTTATTTATATTTATTTTCATTTATGTTTTTATGGTCGACAAAACGAGTGTTTTTCTAATTATTCAATGCAATATGCATATATTATGAAAATTGAATGCTAAAAGCATAGTTAGAGTACACAATTTTCTAATAACATCACCGTTCGATGGAGGTGTTTTAATTGCCAATCCGGACAGCTGTGCCCCTTTTTACAGCTAACTTTGTCAGTGACGTTATTAGAGCCTACATCTAAGCAGAAGGTTGTAAGTAGGAAAAAAATATTATTAAGTAAAATTAAACATCTTAATTTGCTATATTAATTACAAAAATACAATATATTTGAAAAAAATAAAGAAAGACATTTTTTGATAAAGTAATAAAATGTATGCTAGATATATTGAGTGTTAGTAGATAGAACAACGAGTAAAGTAATGGGAAATAATAATGGGATATCACCGAAAATGGGGGAATGTCCGGCAAGCTATCAGGGGCATAGCTGGGAATGGTCAGTGCCTCTCAGATGGTATCCTGAAAGCAACGGGGTAGAGAGTGTTCGGAAGAGAAAACGTGATGCAAACTATTGTAATTTTTACATAGCACGCATTACGGATTGTGCATAGCGTAGTCTGTTGTGCACGTAGATAGGAATAAGGGGCGATAATATCTGGTTGGTCTGGACGGAACAGAGGATTGAAGACGCCCTAAAAGAAAAGGAGAATCTATATCGCCAATAATCAACTTATGTAGGAAGACAACACCGAGAATTGTCCTACGGTTGGTTAACGACGGAAGATTAAGAAGAAGCAGTGTGCTTGAGTAAGATGGCAACCGAAGATAAGGGTCCCAATTTAAACCTCGTAAGGCAAAAAGCAGAAATTGCTTCTGAACAGATTCAATACGATCCGGCTATTGTTATACTGCGGAGACCACATGCAAAAGCAGTATTTAGGGATAGGGCGAACAAGAAAGATGTACAGACAGAAGTTTTGTTATAAAAGGATCGTTAAACTCTTTAGACCACCGTTAATTGAATCCAAGTACACCGTTTGCCTCATTAACGATGGTATCTATAAGAAGATTGAAATAGAGTTTAAATTCAAAAATAACGCCTAGATCATTAAATGTTAGTATACGTTGCAAAGGGATATTGTGGATTGTATAACTGACAAGATAAGGTATAGTACGATAAATATCATAAACATACACTTTGAACAATTTAGATGCAATTGATTGGCCGAACACCAAAGTTGCATAGCGTTCAAATCGTCTTGTAGACGAGAATGATGTAGGGGATTAGTGTATGATAGAATAAGTTTTACATCATCCGCAAACCTAAGTACCCGGGCATGTGATATAACCGAGGGGAGATCATTTATAAAAAGTCCAAGATGACTACCTTGAGGAACACCAGAAGTAACGTGAACCCGTTTAAAGGTAGTCAGCCTCAGCATTACTCTTTGGGTCCTACCTTTTAAATATGAATTAATCCAATGTAAAAGAGACGCAGGGAAACCTATTCGGTCAACTTTAAAAAGTAAAATATCATGCTGCTCAGAGTCAAACGCCTTACTGAAGTCAGTGTAAATGACATAAGTTTGTATTTTCAAAAGGAAAGCAGGGGAAACAACTGATTTGCAGAAATGATGCAAATTAGGAGTGATTATTTTTTCAAATAATTTAGGAGTAGCGGACAGTCTTGCAATGCACTTGTAATTTTGAATGTCAGACTTCCCACCTTTCTTAAGGAGAGGTATGATATAAGATGCTTTTCAAAGAGATGAAATAAAAAAAGATCCAAGGGATAGATTAAAAAGCTTTATCAATGGATAAAGAAGGGAAGAAGTACACTGCTTGAGGTGATAACTAGGAATATTGTCAGGCCCAGGTGAGTCAGAAAATTTTAAAGAATTTATAGCAGAAAGAAGAGAGGATTGGGAGGAGCAGGTATAGAACCGGTTGAAATAATATTGTAATGGTAAGAATTAGTATTAGGACAGACTGAAGAGTAAGTTGATTGGAAAAAATTAGCAAATAGGTTAGCATCGCAATCATTACTATCTTTATCTATCCCGAAAGAAAAATAAGATGGCTACTTAAAGATTTACGCTTCAAGTTTACAAAATTATACAACTTCCTTGGGTTTTGGGAAAATTGCCTTTTGCAACGAGTTAGATAATTCTCATAGCATTGAGAATTAAGAAGAAAGAAGTTCGACTTGGCTATGGAATATTTGGCCGTCAATACTGGAACCAGACCTTTTAATCTCTTCAAAATATTTAGAAATATATTTTTTTTAGATTTGATGATAGTCTGGAAGTGAACCAGGGTGGCTTTGAAGAAGCAATTGAGGGAATTGTATTATGAATGCAATCATCTAAGATTCAGTTCAGGGTATTATAAAAAAATTAGCAATATTCATACCAACCGCGACATATAAAAAAGACCAATCGATTGCATGAATACGTTGATTAAGTAAGGAATAGTTTGATTTGCGAAAGCAACGGCGGGACTTATAGATTGCTGATGAATGTAAAACGAGAGGATTGCAATTGAACATTGCAACCTCTAAAGTAGGATGATATGCATTCTCAGGAAGGGATAAAGGAGGGGAACAAGGAAAGATCCAGCATGCAATTTATAATGCCGTGCTAAGGGCACTAGATTATTTTCGGCAGTTAATAATGACCAAGAGATGTTCGGCAAATTAAAATCACCCAGCATCGTAAATAGGTCATTCTCACGCACATGTAATGAAACTTTTTCAATACAAGTAATATGTTTTATATTTGAATATCAGAAGAAGTAGAACATAAGAGCATGTAATATAGACATTGCGTGTGGAAAAGACACCTTAACTGAGACAATCTCAGAGTCCGTAGGCGTACTAAGACAGAAAAGTTCTGACTGGAACATGGCCTTAACGGCAGTTAATACCCCACCACCTCGATACGGCCAATCATTTCTATGCAAAATAAAACTGTTCAAAAAAGCCTCAAAATCAGATATAGTTCAATTTAACCATGTTTCTGAAAATGCAATTATATACGAATCGAAGAAAGTGCTGGCCATGAAATAATTTTTAAGCTTAGAGACCTGTGACATTCTGATAATTATCATAACCTAATGATTGAATTTCTCTATATTCGGAATTGCATAATTGCTATGAACAAGAGCTTTGAACAGACAAATAAAATTTTGAAGCTTGGAGTTGTTTTCATAAAACTTGGGAAGGGCCAGAAGCGGAAGACGTGTGCGTGGAGCCGCAACGGGCATGCCTGCAGGGGTTGCCGGACTTACAGACTTTATAACGGACTTTATATTACCTTTTGTCGTTAATCAGAGCTCTTCGTATATTGCGTTTATTTTTTGAATCGTCTAAGCAGTCTCTAGTTGTCATGTTTATTTCGAGTCTCTTGTTAGAAGCGTGATTAAAAGGTAGTCACAAGAGTTTGAAGAGCCGTATGCGGCTCCCGTGTTTAACTATGCATTGCACGAATAATAACCATAAGCATGATAATAACAAGTAAGAGGTTTTAGTCGGGAGCTCCCGACTAGGGGATACCCTAAACCCTCTTCTTCCAACATCGAATGCATATATATATTCTATTTGAAAATCTATATGTCAAGTTTGGTGACTCTAGCTCTTATTATTCACTAAAATTGCCCGAAAAACAGGATATCAATATCGATTGCTTGCAAATATAGTGTCTTCATTTTGTGTCTAGTGTCTTCTTTTTCATGAATAATACAATCAAACTAAAATTTAATATCACAAAAATGTATTATTTTTATCATTGTCAATCGAAAGCATTAACAAAGAAATTGTATTTACTAATTATCCGCTGTATGTTCATACGAACTTCAACAAGACAACATTTCTACTATATAAGTAGCTGGATTTCTTTTATTTCTTTACTTAAGCGTTGCGGAAGTGTATATATTTAACTTGCGACCTTAAAAAAACGGCGTAAATGGAAATTTTATGCTAATAACATAAATTTTGAAATAATTTCTATTTAAAAAAACATAACAAGAGCTTTAATTTTCTTAATTTAAGATTCATTCAAAAGGATTAAAATTTGGAATTTATGAAGACTATGGAAATTACACATGCGCTGGATATCCTGGCATTATCGGGTTTGAGAAAATAGATGCGTATCAATTCGCAGAATGGAATGTTGATTATGTTAAATTAGACGGTTGCTACGCCTTACCATACGATATGGATAGAGGCTACACGGAGTTTGGAAAACTTCTTAACAGTACGGGGAAGCATATGGTGTATTCTTGTAGCTGGCCTGTTTACCAAATATATGCAGGGATTCCACCAAATTTTTCAGCGATTCAAAGTCATTGCAATCTATGGAGAAATTTTGACGACATCCAGGATTCGTGGTTATCTGTTGAAAATATTATTGATTATTATGGAAATAATCAAGATGTAATTGCACCCTATGCTGGACCTGGACACTGGAATGATCCTGACATGGTATTTATAAATCACTTATACCTTTCATGTGTCAATATAAAAAAATTTAATAATCTTTGAGAGTAAGATAAGGAATGTATCATCTTTTACGGTGGGCTGATGTGCGTAGGTACACTGCCGATCGTAATAATATCTTGAACCAAAGTCTGGCTTTTCGCATTTTAATCGACATGCCACCCATACATGAGCCACACATACGAAAACCGCAGTCGTGGCTTGTTGAATGTTTGTGAACATAAATTAAACAAGATCGAATTGTAATTTCAATTATTACGGATTTATTTCTGTTTGCCGATCGTTTGAACTGTTTAAGAATAAATTCAAAACTAAACTTTAAGTAACTTAAATGAATGCGCGAAGCCGCTGCTGCAGGCAGGCAAGCCGGCAGAATTCTGAGTTGTCGTCTCTTGAGAGCGATTAGCCCGTTTGGGGGTGCGAGAGTCTGCAACTCTGTTGCAACGGCGTGACGCCCAATTGCGTTATCAGCTCCTTTTGTCTCGCGCGTGGTTACTCCTCCCTGGGTAGATTAAAACCCGTCCTCGTTTATCTCAATAGTTGTTTTGTGTCGCAATTCAGCGTTTTTTGCCCACTTGTGGATTTGAGCCACTCAATTTAACGCAAATGTTGACGTTGACGTAGGATGTGTCCGAATCCAATGAAGCGTGACTTCAGAATCAGACCAAAGAACCATTCGTTTAATCAATATCACTCTTTACTCGAAATCGAACTATTGTTCTGATCAAGAGTATTGAACAGGCTAATAAATTCTTTAACTTGAATTATTTTCTACTAAACTTGGGAAGCTCCAGATACGAAGATGTGTGCGTGAAGCCACAACGGGAACGCCTGCAAGCGTTGCAGGACTTAAAGACTTTATAACGGAATTTAAACCAACTTTTGTCGTTATACAAAGTTCTTCGAGCTTGGTACGATAATCATCATCTCGGTGAAATGTTTCTCCTCTAGTCTAATATTTTAAAGCTGTATCTATGTTGGGCCAGAATTTCTAATCTGAATTCTAGTTCTTCATCCTTATCATCTGATCGCTTAAACGCATTATGATTTTTATAGAAAAATTGCGATTTTGAATCATCAAAACTTTCCTTAGTTGCTTAAGTTATGTTTAAATCTTTTAAGAGTTATTAATTTCAATTAAAATTCCAATTTACTATTAATTTACAGGGCCTGAATGTTTTCAAAAAGTTTTGAAAATTTATTTCTATGCTTAAGCTATATTGCGCTGTCGCTCCGCAATAAACTAACACTAAGCTTCAACATTTTAATGAATATTATTATTCAATGCGCAGATCTGCGCCAACAAGTATATAAGGTACACATTTTCACAAAATATTGAACAAGCAAAGATATGTTTTTTTATAAATGCTGTGTAAATTCTACAAATTATTTTGGAAAGGTATTGAAAAAAAACTATTTCAAATCGTCAATTTCATATTTCTTTGTTTCAGCTAATAATTGGAAACTTTGGCCTTAGCTATGAACAGGCGAAGACTCAATTTGCTGTGTGGGCCATTCTTGCTGCTCCACTTTTAATGTCAGTTGATTTAAGGACAATACGACCTGAATTTAAGGAGATATTGCTCAATAGAAAGATTATTTCTGTAGATCAAGATCCCTTGGGCATACAAGGTCGAAGAATATATAAACATAAGGGAATAGAAATTTGGTCAAAACCAATAAGTCCAGTTTATCAGAGCTTTTACTCCTATGCTTTAGCCTTTGTAAATAGACGGACAGACGGCACACCATCTGATATTTCCGTTACATTAAAGGAGCTAGGTCTGATCAATAATTCTGGATATAGAGTTGAGGTAAGTCGTAAGAAATAAATTAATTAATTGATTTTATTATATATCCGCAATCATTGTATTGCGTTGCGGTTTTGCGTTGCTTTAAAGAGACGGCTAGCCAGTATTTATTATATATTTGTCAGCTTAAAATAGGACATATATATTTCGATATGTTGAAGTTGCTATTGCGCTATTACATGGCAACTCACACCGACTGTGTTAGCTTATATGAATCAACCTCTTAAATACTCATTACGAGTCTGGCGATAACGGGGGTCATATCAACATACACCAACATATCCACTGTAACAACGTTTATCAATGTTGTGCAAATTGAAATACAAAAAAAAAAAAATTAAAATATAATAAAAGAATATAAATATAATAAAAAGAAACCCCACAAAGATGTAGGAAGCATGGTGAAACCTAAAAAAGTCAAGTTTGTTTCTTGAACAAAAAAGAAGTTTTCCTTATTACAAGTTAACTTTCGACCGATTGTTCCTTCGACAGCTTTATGATACAGTGGTCCGATGATGACAGGATGATAGGATATGAGGAGCATTGAAGAACTAATAAATACCTAGTATGGTAAAGATATCTTGATAAATAAAAAAGTTGTTTATACAAAAAACTACCTTTCGACCGAACAGACAAACGGGCACAGCAGTTTAATACCTTTACTTATGCGTTAGGTGGTTAAAAGAGAAGCCATTTGAAGTGAGAGTAGCAGAATATACAAAAGCTTGAGTACGTATTTTCGACAGCACAGAACGATCGAGCATTCGCAATGATCAAGCAGTGAGAGATCGCTGGGCTGCTGAATACAGGAGCATCCATCAGTTTACTGGGAAAAGGTTACAGGACAGTTTAATCGCCTGGGGCATGCTATAGCACATTCTGGGTCGTATCTATTCCACAATGTCGTACAATGACCGGACTCACCAATTAGCGCTTTACCTAGCCCATCTTTCAAACCGTCACTGTACCTTGGATAGGACTTTTTGAGAAACTTTGGCTTAGTGCCGGAAAATTTAGTAGTCGAGGAGCTGAGGTATATTGATTCAGAGTTCACCAACAACAATTTCGACTGAAAGATGTTAAAGAAGGTTTCCTGGATTACAAATCTCGAGGATTACATACAAGTATGGAAGTACATACCAACTAATGGAAGGCACAGTGCCAGTCAAAGGCGATTCTATCCAGTATCTTCAGCAGTATAGATGCTATTTTTTGCAGCAGTGGAAGTCATTGAGCCGAGGTAGTGTCTTTGGGACAACCGATTGAAAGCACATAAAGAATCGACTGTGTCTGGATGTTCGCAAGTTGAATAAGCTGACCATCAAAGACGCATACCCGTTGCAGAACATCGAGTCCATACTAAGCAGAGTTGACGACGACATATTCATAGGCTGCGTAGATTTGACGCATGCGTTTTGGCAGATAGAGCTAGACCCCAAGAGTAATTTACAGTATTCACCACACCCGGCAGCCCTACCTATCAATTCAGAATGATGCCATTTGGTAAAGGAAGTAACCGACTGCCTGAAAAAGCGAATTTGACTATTGGGTTCCAAAAATTTGAATTCTGCTTCAATACCTGCGTTACTTGGGGTACATCTTTGGCTACCTACCCAAAAAGGTGGAAGCAATAGCAAAACTACGACAGACTGCCAGCCTGACGGACTGCATAAAGTCGAGCATGAAGCTAGTATTAGCATAGAAGTGATAAACGATTTCCAGGATATCAAGAAACTGCTCACATGTGCACCCAGACTGGTGCATCCCGATTTCCGCAAGCACTATCATATACAGTGCGATACAAGCCAATTGCGAATAGGAGCGGAGCTTTTTCAGAGGGATGATAGTGGCGTGATAGACCGCTTGCTTTCTTTTCAGCGGGAAGGACAACTAAATTATAACGTGACCGAAACGGCATGCCTAACCACCGTCAAAGCTGTCGAAAGCTTTTGCCATATATAGAACTGATGCCGTTTGTACTTATTACCAACCATGCCAGCCTGCAGAGACTTGCTCGGTGGTCATTGGATCTTCAAGTATGCAACTTTAACATCGAACATCCCAAGAGAATAGACAATATCGTGGAGGATATGTTTTCTAGACCTTTCGGAGTGGAAGAAGAAGAATTTGATGCATACGATTTCGAGACCACCGAGTAAGGAGTATTTGGAAAGGCTGAGGCTTGTGGGGGGAAGTCGGACAAGTTTACAGACTTACGGTTCGAGGTTCATCTGTTATTAAAGAGAACATAGACCAACAGAGAATACAGCGACGAATTCCTCTCGAAACTGTGGGTTCCTGAAAAGTTAACGCTCATACAAAAGGCGCATGAAGGTGCGATGGCGATGCATGGTGGGATTGCGAAGACTCTGACCGGAGTCAATTACTTCTACTACTGACCCCAGATATCAATCCAAGTCCGAGAGTTTGTCAGAAAATATAGGATCATTCCCACCAGAACATCGGGAGCTAAATGTATGGCGCAATCAACGTAGATCTTATCAATGAATACACTGATTCCGATCAACGCAAATTTAACAAGCTCATATACGAAGTTGACAAACTTAGCAGGTACCCAAGTTGCCGATTAGGTCATAAAAGCACTTTGCTTGGAACGTCTTCCAGATAATGTACGAGCTTTCGTAGTGATTATTGATGGCGACTTGGCTACAGTATCTCTATATATGGCCCAATGCTGGTAAACTGAGCCATGTGACTTTAAAAAAATTCAAGCCTGAAAACTAAACCCACTCTGTCAGCGACGGTGGTCAAAGTGGGGGCTACCAGTCATCGATTATTCATAATGGACCAAGCTGCAAAAATAAAATACTTAATCGACACATGCGCTGATTTTTCTAGATTACCTCCCACGGATCACTCAGCGCTCACGCAGCAAACTGCACCCCAGTAAAAACATTTGGCACAAAAATTTCTGCTATCAACTTCGGCCTACGCAGATATATGAACTGGCAATTTGTCATCGCTGACGTCACAACATTAATCATAGGAGTTGATTTCCTACATGAATACGGGCTACTGCAGACAGCTCTACAAAGCTGTACAAAAGGGGCACAACGTGCGGTGTGGAATTCGAAAAACTACTCACTGTGACTCCAGTGACCAACGACCGTTTCAAAGTACTGCTACGCAAATACAGCGGCTTGATCATGCCCTGCAAGTACGCAGCACACGATGTTAAGACGACAGTATAGCATCACATCTTCACAACCAGCCCATACTTTCAAAAGGGCGTCGCCTAAACCCTGAAAAATTAGCTATAGCTAAATTTAAGCAGCCAATATGCAACCCCACTGCACATGGCAGCCAAGAAGAGCAAAATCGAATGGCTGCCCTGCAGCGACTACAGACTACAGACTATACAAAGCCAGACAGGTATCCATTGCCGCATTTTCTTGATATCTCTAACAAATTCAATCTTAGTCAATCTTCACGACAATTTATCTGGAATGAAAACATCAACAGATACCAATTGCCTCGAAACCGCGATCGTCATTCCATTTGGCTTATACGATTTAATGTAATGTAATTACATTTACATTATATAACGCAAGCCAAACATTTAATTTATATTTCGTGATATGGACATATCATCTGCATCGCAGGACAAAAAGTAGATGAGCATTACAGCACGTCAAGGATGTTTTTGGTAGACTACGGCAGCATGGACTACGCTTAAATGCCTCAAAATTAATCTTTGGGCAATACAAGTGGATTTTCTTGGCTATCATGTCCCGAGGACCGCCATAAGTCGGACCAATGATTCAAGCAATCAAAGATTTTAAAAAACTTACTCTGGTGTGCAGCCGATGTTTACCTAAGCAAGAACAACTGCAAAAGCTAATCATAGGCAACAAAAATAGTGTGGAACGCCGAAACAGACCAGATGTTCGAGCAGTGCAAAACCGATTTAGCACGCCTGACAACATAAGCGCATTCTTCCGCAAATGCTAAACTGCTACCGTATGTTGACGCGGATCCCTCAAACCGTTCGATTTTATCCAAAAAGATATCTCAATCGCAGAAAAAGTGAAATACTTATGACCGTGAGTTGCTGGCAATTGCTCTGCCCGTCTAGTATTACTTCTAATCCGTCAATATATCACACATAGCTACCGAAAGCAAGCCTTCAATTTCAATCATAACCTTTTTTACTCACGTAAGAGCGCAACAGTGAAACTCAAAGCTGTACGTTTCGTCTGGAGATAAACGAAAAAAAAAACATTGCTTAGATGGGCAACATCTTCCAGCAGTCCAAAGTAGACATACACAACAAAGCAAAAGGTCAAAAGGTTAACCTGCCTGGAAGTCGATTCGAAATATCAAAATTTACCTTAATTGGCCCTTAAGCTAAAAGCACACATAGCTGCAGAGACGGTAGCTAAGCCTTTAATGCATAGTAATGCATCATAGCTACCAACCAAGGCAGACAGTTTGAGTCTACATTTTTTAAGGAGCTTAGACCGCCATCAAATATCACACTGAATTCAACTGGATCCCAACGTATAGCTAGCTGAAATGGACAATGCCCGGTGAATCTTTCCAGGAACCTGCAGAAGAGTACATCGAAAGTTAATTCATCAAGCGCCTATGTTCAACCATGTCCCAGCTAAAGCCTGTCAATACACCACACCTCGTTACTACCAAAGTATTCGTGCGAAATGGTCTCAAAACATGTACACACATTTTCCTTCGTGATGATATAGTCAAAGCGCAGTTCAAAAAATCTTAGTTATCAGCCGCATCGATAAGTAATTTGTAATCATTATCGGCAAGCATAACACTATAACTATCGACAGTGTTCAAAAAAGCTTACTTAGAAGCAGACGATGATCATCTTTACCCGCAACTAACTGTAAAAAACAACATCCCATTATTACCACTCATAGCGGACGTGAAGTGCGCTCACCCCAAAAAATGCATACATTTTGTAACTAAGTTGCAAAATTTGAGGGGGAGTGAATGTGGCAGTCTTATCGCCTCGATTGAATATTTTTAATGGACTTGATAAAATATTTATAGTTGGTAAATAAGAGTCGTGAAAAGGTTTCGGAAAAGGTCCTTAAACTGATATTCAATGCCCTACATAAGATTTTATTAAATACGCGTGTCGTCGATTTTGGAATTTCCATTGGCGACAACTTACAACTTCTGTTTTATCAAGGGAATCTATAAGATTGGTGATTAACGCACAGCCCGAACCGTACGAGATTGTAAACTGAAATTGTCACTGTAGCTTCCTTATCTGATGATGGTGCATATAAAAGGGTGTTTCGAGAACTTTTTACCGCATGAGTGAAAAGATCGCAAACAAAATTGTATGAAAATCGTATCGACTTAAAATATCTTTAAGGATCTGAAAATTAATTTCAGTCTTTCACCATTTTCGCTTATTTTGACCATCTTGGATAATAAATTCTGGCGAAAGTTTTTCTCTAAATCCACCGCTGTTTGACTAACTATGTGGGTCAACGGTTTTATGAGCACTTTTATGTTTTCCTTCAATATTTAGATCACCAAATTAGCCTGATGAAAACCGTTGATTCCAGCTTCTAACTCTTTTATGGATTTGTTAGGAGTGTATGGGAGTGTGGCAAGAAACTTCGACCGCATATGTCCGGTAAGCAAACAAACCGTAAAAGTAAACAAGACTCACAGGAGGAATGCAAAATGATCCGAACGTAAGCCAATAGACGTTAGACGAATATCATCAAAAAAAATTGATTTTTTATTTTGTTTTCACACTTTTCTCCCAAAACCTAATAGTGCGCGCGCTACTAGCTTAAGCTTAAGCAGTTATATACAATTTAAAAGAATGAAGTTCTCACACTCTTGCAACTGCCTTTACCCGCCAGTTATCCCCACAATTAATTTTTATGAAACAAAAACGTGTTAAAAGAGCAGCACATATGCACGGCTCAGAAAACAATACAATCGCAATTGCAAAGCTGTTCATAGAAAATGGAAAAAAAATTTAATTCCTTCATGCGTATTAACTCATTCTTCTCTATTGCAAGCTGATAACAGGTGGACATTTGACATTTGTTCTATTTATTCTGAGTTAAACTACTACTAATATTAAATACTAATAGATAGATATAAATGGTATGGCGGCGAAGTATAACTCTGGTAATTCTATAGAAAATATCATTAAATATCAGAGACGCTTAAATAAAGCTGATTACGGCATCCCCATAGCCCCAATTATTTCGCAAATTACAATGTGAAAGAGATCAAACGCTTTGTATTTGCCAAGAATGCCAAAAGAAACATTTTTATTTTCGACCGATCGTTCCTATGCCAGCTATATGATATATAGGTTCGATCCAGCTGGTTTTGACATATGACATATGTGCTAGAATTCTGCAAAGCTTCACTAAGATAGCTTTAAAACTGAAAGACAAGTTCGCATAGAAACCGACTGACGGACAGACGGACATAGCTATATCGACCCGGCTGTTGATGCTGATCACGAATATATACACTTTATGGGGTCGGAGATATTTATTTATTTATTTATTTATTTATTTATTAATGGTCGACAAAACGAGTGTCTTCCTCATTATTCAAAAGATTGTACAATATAATTATATGCTAAAAGCCTAGCTAAAGGATACAATTTTCTAAATAGCATCACCGACCGATGGAGGTGTTTTATTTGCCAGTCCGGCCAGCTGTGCCCCTTTTCACAGCTAATTTTGTCAGTGACGCTATTAGAGCCTACATGTAAGCAGAAGGTTGTAAGTAGGAAAAAAGTGATCTCAAGTGAAATTAAAAATAATCTTAATTTGCTATATTAATAAAGAAAATACAATAAATAGGAAAAAAGAAAGTAAGAAAATTGTTAATAAAGTAAAGCAATGTAAGTTAGATAAAGAGTGTTAAGTGGATAGGACAAAGAGAAAAGTAATGGGAAATCACCGACACGGTGGGGGAAAATTTTTCAGCCTGTCCGGCTAGCTATGCCCCTGCTCATAGCTGGGAATGGTCAGCGACTTCCCGAAGGTATCCTGAAAGCAACGATTTTATTAGGGGTAGAGACAGTTCGGTAGAGAAAACGTGATGCAAACTATTATAATTTTTACATAGCACGCGAAAAGAATTGTGCATAGCGTAATCTGTTGTGCACGTAGATAGTAATAAGGGGCGATAATTTCTGGTTGGTCTAGCCGGAACAGAGAATTGAAGACGCCCTAGCAGAAAAGGAGAATCAATGTCGCCAATAATCAACTTATGTAGAAGGACAACACCGAGAATTGTCCTACGGTTGATTAACGACGGAAGGTTGAGAAGAAGCAGTCTGCTGGAGTAGGACGGCAACCGAAGATTAGGGTCCCAATTTAAACCTCGTAAGGCAAAAAGCAGAAATTGCTTCTGAACAGATTCAATACGATCCTGGCTGTTGATATACTGTGGAGACCAGATGCAAGAGCAGTATTCAAGGATAGGGCGAACAAGAGAGATGTACAGAAGTTTTGTTATAAAAGGATCGTTAAACTCTTTAGACCATCGTTTAATGAATCCAAGTACACCTTTTGCCTCATTAACAATGGTATCTATATGAAGATTGAAACAGAGTTTAGAATCAAAAATAACGCCTAGATCCTTAACTGTTAGTATACGTTGCAAAGGGATATTGTCGATTGTATAACTGACAAGATAAGGTGTAGTACGATTAAAAGTCATAAACATACACTTTGAACAATTTAGATGCAATTGATTGGCCGAACACCAAAGTTGCATAGCGTTCAAATCGTCTTGTAGACGAGAATGATGTAGGGGGTTAGTGTATGATAGAAAAAGTTTGACATCGTCCGCATACATGAGTACACGGGCATGTGATATAACAGAGGGAAGATCATTTATAAAAAGTGTAAAGAGTAAAGGTCCAAGATGACTACCTTGAGGAACACCAGAAGTAACGTGAACCCTTTTAGAGGTAGTCAACCTCAGTATTACTCTTTGGGTCCTACCTTTTAAATAAGAATTAATCCAAAGTAAAAGGGACAGAGGGAAACCTATTCGGTCAAGTTTAAAAAGTAAAATGTCATGGTGCACAGAGTCAAACGCCTTACTGAAGTCAGTGTAAATGACATCAGTTTGCATTTTCGAAAGGAAAGCATCATTTACCAAGGATGTAAACTCAAGCAGATTGGTCGTAGTTGACCGATTCTTTACGAATCCATGTTGAACAGGGGAAACAACTGATTTGCAGAAATGCTGCAAATTCGAAGTGATTATTTTTTCAAATAATTTAGGAATAGCAGACAGTTTTGCAATGCCCCTGTAATTTTGTATATCAGACTTCCCACCTTTCTTGTGAAGAGGAATGATATAAGATTCTTTCCAAAGAGATGGAAAGACAGAAGTTTCAAGGGATAGATTAAAAAGCTTTAGCAATGGATAGAAAAGGGAAGAACTACACTCCTTGAGTAGACAACTAGGAATATTGTCCGGCCCAGGAGAGTAAGAAGATTTTAGAGAGTTTATAGCTAATAGGAGAGAGGAGTGTGAAATAGTGGGGGGAGGTATAGAACTGGTGGTAATAGTATAAGGGTAAGAATTAGTATTAGGACAGACTGAAGAGTAAGTTGATTGGAAAAAATTAGCAAAGAGGTTAGCAGAATCAATGTCATTGCTAGCTTTATCCATCCCAAGAAAAAAAGAAGATGGCAAACTTGAAGATTTACGCTTCAAGTTTACAAAATTATAAAACTGTCTTGGATTTCGGGCGAATTGCCTTTTACAACGAATTAGATAATTCTCATAGCATTGAGAATTAAGAAGAAAGAAGTTCGACTTGGCTATGGAATATTTAGCCAAGTCTGTACACAAACCAGACTTTTTAAACTTTTTAAAATATTTGGATTTTACATTTTTTAGATGTAATAATCTGGGAGTAAACCAGGGTGGTTTTGAAAAAGTAGTCGAAGGAATTGACTTAGGAATACACACATCTAAGAGGGAGTTTAGGGTGATATAAAATCTTCTTCTAAAATCTATCTTCTTCTATGCGTTATACATTTCACGACAAAATTATAATACCCTCTGCAAGGGTATAATAAGAGTCACACTTCATTTACGTGCATTCACTCCATCCCCATAAGTGCTTTTGCTGTAACTAACAAATCACTACAATTGCACAATAAAAAAAACTTAGAAAATAATGGATAAAAATTGTTTTCGAACTTCATGTGATTTTATCAACATCGGAGCACTATAACATCTGGCTGCCAAAGAAATGAATGGTCGATTAAAAACGATGCACCAGAAGCTGTTTTGCTTATTAAAATAGGATCAGAATCGCACTATTTAATTTTATAGTTCTATGGGAAGAGCCAGTGCAAATGATTTTTTTTTCAAGATGTTTTCATCAAACTCAGCATTCAAGAGTATTTCTATTATCATATATCTACAAGTCTGCATGTCCATACGTCAAGAAAGGTATTAAATCTACGGCGTGTCGAAGATAGACAAACTTTGTTTGGATAAAAAGGGCTTATTGGTTTTGTGCATATGCATGTAACAGCCAGAAAGAAGCATCTCTGAGCACACAAAGTTAAAATGAAATTAATAAATATCGTTCTTACCATAATGTCTGGTGGCCAGAGTATCTATCTACCGCAGACGGTCACTTGATTAATTTGATGTGTTGCCTCGCGAATAGTACCTAATTATGATATTCACTCGGATTTGACGGCTAATCACGTTCTTTAATTTCAGGACCTTTACGAGAACATTGATTATGGAATATTGTTCCCGAGAACTAAAATCAAGGTTAAGGTAAATCCATCTGGAGTTGTTATGTTAAAAGGACAAATTAAGTTTTAAAACAAATATTAATTTTATATGCTGTTATATGAGATGAAGTTAGTTTTATTAAAAAGTTGTCAAATAAATAATTAAACATCATATATTTCTTTATATAGAAAAATTTTTTTCGAAATAATTATACCCTAAACCCATTGAAAATGGGTAAAAAGGGTGACTATAATATATAATGTATTTACGCAAATGTATGTAACAGAAGGAAACATCTCCGACCCCTTAAAATATGTATATTCTTGATCACCATCACAAACCGGACCATGTCCGTCCGTCCATTCGTCTGGGCGTCTGTCCGCCTGACTGTGTGTATGAACGCAAGGATCTCAAAACCTATAAGATCTAGAGAAAATTGTAGCTGTAGGTCCTCCTAGTGCCGGCGCTGATCGAGTTTGCTTCCGATATTCGATAACTTGCCCCGTTTCCAAGTAATCGATAAAAATTCATCGAAATCCAGTTTAAATTTTTTTTAGCAAATTGGGTAAAAACATAATAAAAGCTCACCAAACATTATATGTAGCTTCTAGAATAGTATATATGTATTTAATATATTTTGGCTTTCACCACCTACCCGCTACTACCACATAGCTATAAATCAAGTAAATAAACCAATTTATATATCCCACCAATTTAAAATACAATTTAAATGCAATTGACTTTTGACAGGCCATAAAGATTAATTTTTCTCGGTTTATTTTCAATTCAATGCATTCACGTTTAATTAATAATCGCTTAAAACTTACTGGCTGTAGGCGGCTAGAAGAGTGCATTGATTTACACTTCATACCTATGACTCTTTCACTTATTCGTGCTCTATTCTTATGAGTGTTCGTTTGCTGCTTGGCACGTCTGGTTTCGTTACTTAGCTCACCGGATGGGGTGTGAGATCTTAAAACTAACAAAAGTCATGGCCAAAGAATGCTACTGCTACCGTAACAATAAATAACAAATAAACGTGTCAAGACTGGTACTTATAAAGCAATACTTACAGAAGAACGGACAGAAGTTATCATACACTATAGTTTCAGGTCAGGTCAGATGGCATAAGTAAGGCTGCACACGTAATTTTACCTCCGTATAAATTGCTCTGCTTAAAGCAACGCCATGACAATCCTCGTGTTTAAATTATAAGAGTTTGTCCCTTGTCCCTACCATGCCTTTATACTTCCACATCTGCATGCCTCAAACAAGATTTACATCAAGGTGAAGTTCATTATAGTATGGATACATTTATTACAAAATTATTGATCTTGTTATATTATAAGAGCTTGGAAGGAAGACTCTCGTTTTGTCGACCATTAATAAATAAATAAATAAATAAATAAATAAATATAAATAAATAAATATGTCATTATATCAATGCTTATGCAGAATTTTAAATTTAACACAATATTTTTTGAACGAAAGTTTTTAAACTTTATACGCTAAAAGACCATGCTACCTTGATCATGTCTTTAATTAATTTGCTTTTGCTCATTGAGGATACGATACCACTTCCGTGTGAATAAAGCGTTTTACATATGATGACGTATGAAATTTAAATGATGTCGGTGAACAATGATTTATGAAAGTGATGTTTGAGCTCAAATCAGCACCATTTGTAAATGCATAAGAGTTTTCGTACAGATGAATTAGCGTACATTCTACAAGCAAATATACCGTTCCTTGCAAAAATCATCGTAAGAAAAAATCATGATCAATTAATATTTAACCTACGCAAGTTAAAGTTTTGTTTCTCAACTAGGCTATTAGAACATATGTATACTAGGAATAATTCAAAGTCGGCGCTCCGTTTAAAATTTAATATCGTCACTCCCTTCTTTGGATGTATCGTCTGGTCGGTCCACGCTGCATTATTAATAAATTGAATTTGCGAAGATCTTAATATCGTAGATAGGGCTGCTGTTTTTATAGGTGGATGGCTTAACAAGTCCATTTTCCCATTAGCATTCCGAATTTGCAGGGTGTGTAGAAGCTCACGTTGTCACCAAAATTCTACATATGAGCATTGTAGCTAAAAGTGCTGCTAAAAGTGCACGTCTGCTTCGCAGTGCCGCCGAAATTAATAAAAAAAATCACTCCACGCGTGCTGGCGTGGTCTCAGCATCGGTATTCCAAAAAAATAGCTCTCCAATCAACGTTGCCACATTAGCTGATTAACAATTTTCTCTTACTAGTTAAGGTTGCCATTTACATGTCAAATATTAAGAGTCAGCTGATCGCTCCGACTGCTTTAAAATAAACAAACATAATTTTCAGCCATAACAGTTCGTCTAGCTTAAGTTCTTATTGCTGCTTAAGAAATGTCACATTTTCAAGTTTCAAATATTGGTGTTCCACAGGTTGTCGGTAACGTGCGAGTGTACTGCTTCTTAAATAAACAGCGCACCAAAGTTGTCCTTCCAAAACTCAAATAATGCGATATCGAAGTAAGGGCTTTAAATGTTAAGAACTGTGGGATTATTAAAATTTAAAAATATGATTTAAAGTTACCTCTTGCATTCGTTAATATATTAGAGGTTTATGGTACTGTTTAATGATACTTCCACATTTTTCACAACATCGATGAAAATTTCGATTAATTATAGCAAAAAACAGAAAATGTTCGGAGCGAATTTACAGATTTTTCTTGTAAGAAACAGTACTGTAAAACGCATTTTACGCTTTTTTAAAAATGTAACACCTTTATGTGTAATAAATGTTGTCAGTGTACAGTGTACCGAGCCATAGAGGCCTTATTTTGCTTGGTGCTGAGCTTTAATGACAAAAGTGGTGGCCGTAGAACTGAATGGGGATATCATTATTATATATGAGATACCTTATCTTCTAGTATTTATTAATTGTTATTATCATTACTTACGCAGCTAAGCTAAGCTAGATCTTACGTTGATCGTAAGACCCAAGATGATGTAAAGCTATTTTTCAAAAAAAAAAAAAAACATCAATGGTCCGTAAGCATCAGCATGTCTTTATCTTCCATTTTGTTTTTTGTTTTTAGTTTTTATTTTTATCGTTTGAAAAATTAAATGACTATTCCTATTCCATCTATATTGATACCCGATTTATGGCAGTATCATCCTCTGATTTGCATTTGACGATAGGTCCGACTATACACAACAGATTGCACTGGTCTGGCTATCGTTCATAAAGTGGATGGCTAAATATCTCTTAATTCGCGCCGTGCGTGTAGAAGCGACGAATTGAGCACTATATGCTGGATGGCGATAAGTAGTGGCGCCCGTTACCGCCCGGTATTTGGCTGTCTCCGGTTTATATGGCCAGGCAGCCGAGCTTGTGGCCGGGTTGCTGCTAATCCGAACGAGCTATAGTGGTTATCCAGTGTTTGCCTCTTAGGTTATAATGGCAGGTACCCGCTTGCAAGGGGTACATATAGATTAGTCTAAGTGTTTCAGTGAACATCTCACTGTCTGCTGTTCGGCGCTAATACTCACGACTCCATTATCAACCTGTATACCTGCTAAGCAGACCTTCTACTATTGAACACCAATTACAAACTGTTTTGGTAAGGCAACGAAAAGCAACGAGTGCCGAGTCTCGATACCATAGTTTTGAAGTAGAGACCCTAGCCATATTCTATGCTTTTCGTCGATTCCTTGTGCACGCAGAACGTCGCGCTTTTCTGATTGTTGCCGATTCCAGCTCCCTAGTTCAAGCCTTGAGTAAAAACCCTATAAGCCCCGGGATCGCCCGATGGTCAGTAGATTTAGAAGCTTTTTTATACCCCAAACCCATTAAAAATGGGTATAAGGGTATATTGTATTTGTGCAAAATGCAAAAGTATGTGACAAGGAGAAGGAAGCATCTCCGGCCCCATAAAGTATATATATTCTTGATCAGCACCAATAGCCGAGTCGATCTAGCCATGTCCGTCTGACTGTCTGTCCGTATGTATGAACTCAAAGATCTCAGAACCAATAAGAGCTAGAGACTTAAAATTATAAATGTAGGTCCTCCTAGTGCCTGCGCAGATAATCGATATCTTACCCCGTTTCCAAGCAATCGATTAAAATCGATATCGACATCCTGTTTTTTGTCAAGTATCTTTCATTTGATACCGCTCGCCACCTCCCCGCTACCACCCCAAAGCTATAAATCAAGTTAATAACCCAAATTTTATTGCCAACCAATTTAAGCCACAATTTAAATGCAATTGACTTTTTCAGAATACACAAATATTCTATGGTACAATAAGATACACTGTAGAAAATTTCATAAAGATCGGTTGAAAAAAAACCAAAGTTGTATGTAACTGCGCAATTGGATGGGACAGCTAGCGAATACTTCAAGAAGTTCTGTATACATGTACACACACATTCATGCGCGTCTGCTTCGCATTCTAAAAGCATGGTAATTGCGACTTTTTTCTTTAATGTTATTTTAGTTCCTACTTTTATCATTAGTACTTAATTATTGGTGTGGCTGCTGAGTAGAGGCATAACAAATGGTGTGAACTGTCGCGGAAAGTATTTTGTTTTTTTTTTTTGCTTGTATGGATGTTGAGTAAAGTCGACAGCAAGTAATGCGATCAGTTGCGAGTTCGAGCCCTGCCAATGGAACTACTTTTTATTTATTTATTTGGTGTTGGAATAAGAGGGTTCTGGGTATTCCGGGAGCTCCCGATTAGAACCTCTTACTTGTTTATTTTTTCTTTTTGATTACCATTAGCTCGTATATCGACTTGTTTGTACTGTACACATGTACGTATATTGCGGGAGAAGTTTAAGAGATTATTAATGGTTTGTGTATAAGAGAAACGCTGCGGAAAGGTTGTGTCTGTATGCACCATAGCGTATGCAGATTGAATTGAAAAGGAACTCTCGTGAGAAGTTGGGGCATCTTTCTGCAGATAAGTGTGTCAATAGTCTTAAAAAAATACTGTTTTTCCTTAATGAAAGGCTAAATAGAGACATATATTCAAAACTGCCTGCCCTGTATTCTATATTCCGTCCCAAGAACAGTTTACACCAGAACATTAGACGGCATACCAAAAAAACCTGTACCGTATGGTACATTTCATACTGACCATTTGGGCTTACTGCCCAGCATTTTTTCATATCTGAACCCTTTATTAGTAATGTTAAATTTTACCCAGTTAATTCTACTAGTACTAGAGAAGTGTCTCATTGGAAAAATACTTTGAATAATTTAACCGCCGGCGAATTTTATCTGATCAAGGGATGTGTTTTACACCACACGAAATATTGAGCATATTAAAGTTGCGACTGCCGCCCTGCAGGGTGATGTGCATGTTGAATGTGTTAGCCGGGTCCAGCCTCCGATGTCGGGAATATTATGTAAGCCACTGAATCAATCTGACTGGTGCAAGTTGATAGCCGAGTTGAGTTCGCCATTAATAATTCGGTACAGTGTAGCTTTGTTACCGCTGTGCTCAGCATGGGCCTTTGGTAAACAAGCTGACAGAATGTCTTCAATAATAAAACACAATGTGCTTTAAGACATTTTGTGTCAATACATATCGTTGACGTCACAGCACAAGAAGTTTTCGCCCAAATACAGGTGGTCTTACAAAATCAGCAAAATGCTTTTCTATGACCGCTATGAGGTCACAGACGTTGATGATTGTTTATCCAAGTGTGTGATAAAACCGTAGTTCTTTGCTTATGAATAATGTTATGATCGGGGTTGATCAAATGTCAGGATTGACCGAATGTGAACAGTGAAAATTAATGTAAACTCTTAAAAGTCAACAGCCACTACATCTAGTTATGTAAAGAAATAGTAGTATAAAACATATATATATATATATGTGTATTTTTTGTTAATAGTAGTTGGGAATTCTATGAAAAGAGAAGTGAACACGAGGTGACACCGATATAAAAAATAAAAAAAGAACACGAGAAAATAACAAGTATGCGCAAATTTCCAGAATGTATACATGCACACACATTCATGCTTCGATTTTGTCAACAGCATTGCAATGGCGATTGTATTCTTTGTAGCTATTTTAATTCGTTTTTTTCTCTCAATAATACCAAATTATTGGTGTGGCTGTTGGATCTAGTCGGGAACTCCCGATTAGAACCTCTTACTTGTTTTTAATAAAACATATAAAAACGCAACTCAATCTTTAGTTATGCCTTTTTTTTTTATTTTGCACATACATATACGGACATACATACTAATTCATATATCGTTTTTATTATAATTCTCAATTAGTTGCATTTGGATTTTTCTCTCTGGGTTTTACATGTTTCCTATTATTTGCCCGTTTCATAGCTTTTGGTTTGCTTTCCTATTTTGATATAATCTAATACTTTTTTTTAAGAATTTGTTCAATTCTTCTGCTTTGGTTGAATGAGTAACTTTTGTGGAGATTCTCGAATGTTGCAATTTTTTTTTAAACAGGTGGCTTAAGAAGTAAACATAACTTTTAAAAAATTGAAGAAAATAAAAATAAGTCATCAAAATACATCACTTCAGAAATGTTTAAACATAGTTGAAACATTACTTTTCTTGTACGATTATACCCCTTAAGAGCTCCTTTAACATATTTTTAAGACTCTCGTGTTGCAATCGATGTGATTTTTTTTCAGTTGCTACTGGGTCATTATATTAGTTATATGTCTTTTTTACATTCAACTACATCGACATTCAATTTTGGGTTACATATCTAATTAATTATATATAATGTGGGTTGCTTACTTTTCGTACTGCCCATGCATAAATCTTGATTGAATCTTAGCTATATTTGTTGATCAAATGGACGACGGCTTTCTCTGTTCGCTATCTTTTTCAATGCTTAGTTAATTTTTTATAAATATTCTATTATATGTTGTATATTTATTTAACGATATGTTGGTATACAAACTTTATAATACCCTGACTAATTAAGGTATAGCTTTAGAGAGCGCGACTTGGCAATTTTCTACTTGCTGAGCATTTGGCGAAATATGTTGCCACAGAAAACGTGAATTTTCAACAGTTTTTGTATAGAAAGGAGTGCGCTTGAAAATTGCCAAAGTATATGTCCATTTTTAATCAGAGGAGCAAGCTCTAGAAAATAGACACTGAAAGCTGTATAGGTTGTCAGCCACGCGTCGAATTCAACAAAACTTAAAAAGCAGAAAATTGTTAGGAAATTTTCTGAAAACTTAAACTTAATACTAACGGGTAGTTCTAAAACTGAAAACGAAAATATGAACAGCTAAAGTTATTTCATGAAAATATATTTTAAATATGGGAAAAACCAAATATATATTTCGCTCTTAGGAAATCCTTCACATGACTGTCAGGCGTTTTACGGAATCGTTTTCTTCATTTTATTATTTGGTTTCATGATGTTTGTGGCACATTCAAGAGAGACTGTTAAGTAGCTACACACACCCCCAAAATCTCTCTCACACACACACACATACTCAATGGAACAGAGACATATACACTCATTTATATTTATTATAGGTTGTAGCTGCATGAAATCCTAACTAAAATTGTATCCACTTTCTCGCATTTATTGACCAAGTTTTGCTGGACTGAGCACCAGCTCCGGCTCCAGTTTGCTAGTCTGTGGTGGCGGGGCCAGCAGCGAGCTACCACGGCTCTTCGTTAGGCAGGGGGATGACAGCTGTGATTTGTGCTCTTTGCTGCCAAATATGGAGGTCAACGCCGCCGATGGGGCCGTTATTGCGGAGGCTGTCGCAGGCTGCGTCGCCGGTAACGGCTGCAATATGCTCAGACTTGTGATGGCCATTGCCGACGACTCTAGCACCTGGCCAGGTATGCTCGCTCTTGCAGTCGACGTTGTAGTGGCCGTTGGCGGCGCCGGCAGCGGCAGTAAACTGATCGTCGTTGTGGTGGGCGGAACGACAGTCGCGCTCATGCGGCCGGCAGGCATGGCATACACGGGACTGGAACCGGTCAACGTCATGCCCAGCGGACCACGCACCGTTGCTGTCGCAGAATAGGTGTGCGGCAGCGCCGGCGGCAAATCGTAGCTTGTGGGTTGCGACTGAGAACTAGTGAGACGTGTACGATAGCTGCTGCTGGTGGTGGTGGGCGTTGTCTTGGGCGTGGCGCCCGTTGAGACGCCCGGTCGCGGCGAGGGCGTGCTAAATGCTGCATTATTGCTTTTAAGCCGGGGAATGGCACCGGTGCTGCAGCTGCTGGGCAGTGCGGTGGCCATGGCCATTGCCGGCGTCGTTGGCGGGACTACAGCTGTGTCCATAAGTGAGGTCTCCTCCACAATTAAAGCGCCATCCAGCGAGTCTTTGACGGTGGAGGAGGAGGACAAAGACTGTGATTGCTCCAATTGTGGTTGTGGTTGTTGTTGTTGTTCCGGTTGCTGTTGTTGCTGTTGCTGTTGATGCTGTTGTCGCTGCTGCTGCAGTGCGACCCGTTGACGTACCAATTTGCTGTTGGGTCGCTCATTGACGGTGCTCAAGGTTGTTGTTGTTGTTTTTGTTGTTGTGGTTTTGCTTGTGGATTTCCCCGTGGCTTTGGTGGTACAACTCGTAACGGCAGTTGTTGTTGTTGCTCTTGTACGCTTGACGTGCTGCAGCTGCTGCTGTTCAATTTGGACGCTGTCATCCTGCTCCTCATCGCTCATCTCGCACATATTCAACGCCGTCTGCAGCTTCTTCATCTCCAGCGGCGCATCCGCTGTAAATATTTACAAGATTTAGGTTTTTTTTGAGTACGTTTGATTTATTCACTTACCACCCATGTGATCCATGTTCTCCGGTTCGTTGATAATAGGCACAACACGATTTATGGCCGTCTTCTGCTCGTTCTGCATGAAGAGGGATGTCGTGGCTATTTGACGAAGTGCCTCCATGCCCTCATTGAGCATCTTGCTCTGGCTACGCTTGTGGGCAATAGGATACTTTGGCTATTTGGAAGGAGAATAAGTAAAATAAAAATAATTAAATATTTTATTAAAAAAGTTTAGGCAAACGCCTTAGAATGGCTAGGAATTCCGTGGAAATATTTATTGAATATGTTCCATTTTTTAAATAAAACACTATGTAAATACAACAAAAAAATACCCAAAAAATATATTTAATAAAACAACTGACAGCATATATATACTTTAAAAGATTTGCTATTTTAATGGTTCTAAATATAATAAATATATATATATATTTATACATATATATATAAAACAAATAAATAATTAAAAAAAATAAACAATTGACTAAAAATACTAAAAGATTGAATAAAAGTTCTATCACATCAGTATTTATTCCCTAAGCCCATTAAAAATGGGTATAAGGGTATATTGTATTAGTGCAAAATGCAAATGTATGTAACAGGCAGAAGGAAACATCTCCGTATATATATTCTTGATCAGCACCAATAGCCGAGTCAATCTAGCCCTGTCCGTCTGTCCATTCGTCCGTCTGTCCGTATGTATGAACGCAAGGATCTCAAAACCTATAAGAGATAGAGACTTGAAAATTTGGATGTAAGTGCTCCTAGTGCGCAGATCGAGTTTGTTTCCGATAATCGATAACTCACTCCGTTTCCAAGCATCGATAAAAATGGATATCGACATCCTGTTTTTTGGGCAATTTTGGTAAATAATAAGAGCTAGAGTCACCAATCTGGACATATAACTTCTAAAATAGAATATATATATATGCATTTGATGTTGGAAGAAGAGGGTTCAGTGCATCCCCTAGTCGGAAGCTCTCGACTAGAACCTCTTACTTGTTTTTAGTTTGTTTAGTAAGAATAGTTTTTTGTAAATAAAAAAGGTAAGCTTAAAATTATTATGGAAATATGTAAATATTTAAATGAAATTTAGCTATATATATATAAATATATTTATATACAATGTATAATGTATAATAAAAATAATTATAAATAGAAAGTCCTTCATATTATTTAAGCAATAAAAATTGCAGATCTATGGACATAACAAAATGAGAAAAAGGCTTACGTACTTGTATAGAGGGTCCACGAGCTATGGAAACCCGCTTGCTTTCATTGCGCAGCAGGGAAGTCGTGTGATCCGCATCGATTTTGTTAGCATTTTTCTTGCCCGCCTTCTTGCTGGATGAGATGCAGTGTGATGGGCAGATGCAGAAGAGAATGCGTAAAATGCAACAAATCAGACCCAAACCTAAATAAGAGAAACTCATGTGAGTGAGCTTATAATAAATGAATCGATTCAACAATTATATTGCCTATGAGAGAGGGCCCTATAAGTCTTAGCTCCACTGTTTTAAATCCTTTCTCGCCGGTGCCTACAAATGCAATGACCAGGCCCAGTGCGACAGTCCCCAGGCCCACATAGAGAAAGGCATTCGCAAAGGTGCTGGGTCCACGTAGTACGCCCAGAAAATCTTCATCGTCCGAGGAGCCGCCCAATGAAGCATCTTGTATCTGGCAATGGAAGTGAATATATTTTATCAGTGTCCCATACTAAAGACGTAATAAGAATACAGTCCCAAATCAAAATAATTGAGATATTTATCTTATGATATGTTAGTAAAATGATGTTAAATTAATTTAAGAAAAAATATTTAATTTGTATATAGGAACATTACCAGGAAGAGGCAATTTTGATGCTCAATCTGGGAATGATATGAAATATACGTTTAAAAAATATTGTAACCATTTAATTAAAAGTCGATATTTATCAAATACTTATAGAAACATATCATTCTGAAAACATTTTATACCTTTGCAGAGGGTATTATGTCGTGAAATATATTCGATATGTATGTTCTTGATCAGTGTCAACAGCCGAGTCGATAAAGCCATGTCCGTCTGTCGGTCTGCCTGTTGCTATGCGAACAAGTCCCTCAGCTTTGAAGCTATTTTCATGAAACTTTGCATTCGTCCCTCTTATTGTTGCACACAATACACATGTCGGAACCGGGTGGATCGGACCACCATCATATAGCTAACATAGAAACGATCGAGTTTTTTTTATCACGATATTTTGACCAAACTTGGCATTTTTTAGTTTTACTATGCTCCCCAGCATTAGACTTCTATATCATATAGCTGCCTTGGGAACGATCGGTCAAAAATTAAGTTGTTGTATGAAAAGCTTTTGTTTTTCCAAATATCTTGACCAAAATCGGCATTTATTATTTTAACTGTGCTAATCATATATATGCAAAATCCTATTAAGATCGCACCACTATATCATATAGCTGCGATAGCAACGATCGGTCGAAAATGAATGTTCTTGTATAAAAAACTTTTTGTTTTTCATGTTTGCATTAACTATTTCCCTGTGCTTCTTAGATACGAGCAAAGCATTATGAGCATTATGGAAATGTTCGGTTTGCAATTGTATTAACGGTATTTTTTTTGAAGACGTACAAATATCATGTGCGTGTTCCTGGACTTGCCGTATAACAGTTAAATATGTTTTTATTTGGGATTAACAATGATTCCCAATTATAATTGGATATTTCATAGAAAAAGTACTCGGTCCAGTTAAAAATGTCTAGATGAAATGCTTAAAAAAGGACATAAACTTCGCAGATAAAATGAAAAAGTTTTTAGCATTTGGGGCTTGATAAGGAAATAGGGATCTGGTCTCATATAAGCAATATATATTCTGCGCCTATATATCCTAGCTTTGAATGCACTGAACAGAGCGAGGCGTGATTGTGAAGAAAATATATAAATTATGCACTTAAAGGGGAAAAGTTGTGGGTGTATGTGTGTGAGAGAAGAAAAGGAAGGAGGAATTAATTGAACATATTGCTGATTGTTTTTATTGCAGATCTATAGAGATAATATGTATAAATATTTATATTTATATATATAATGAGAGATGTGTATGTACACAGCGCTATGTGAGTGAGCGCTACTTGATGAACTTACTCGATTGCGCTTCACCCAGCGTCTGTGGCAGGTGGCCTGTTGCTGTTGCTGCTCCTGTACGCTGCAGCGGCGGCCCCGCTCCAGCCAGGCGGCCCGTCCCTGAGCGCACTGTGTAACCGATCGGGTGTGATCAGTGGTGATCGGATGTGATCGGATGATCGATATGTGGACAAAGAGCACGAAACATCAAAGGCGATATCGATATCGATTACAGCGATGACGACGTATACAACACGCACGGGCGGGCGCAGTTACACGAACACACGCATACACACAAGCGCACACGCACACACACACAAGGAGCGTGGTGTGGTGTTGTTGTTGGTGTTTTGGTGGTAAGTTGTGGTGTTGGTGGTGGGCAAATGCATAGAAAATATATACAGTTACTGTGGTTAGTTCAACTGTGTGAGAGCAGCGCTCAGTGAATTTTATATTTCTTTCACTTTTTATTTTATACTATTAAATAAATATTTATTCAAAAGCATACAGGATAATAAATTAAATAAAAAGGGTACAACTCATCTTACAAGTTTAACGACTAATGCAAAAGCAATCAAATTTTGGAATTTCGATATAAGATTTCAATTCAATTTCTCAATTCAATATTCAATTTCATAAAGTTGTTTGCGGTATTGGGTTACGAGCTCGCCATCAATAACAACAACAATATAAAATATAATAATAGAAAATACTGAGCAGCCAATTACAAAGACTTCGTTTTAGACTATTTTATTTGATTTTTCACAAAATTTTGTTTATTTTTTTAACACACAGAGTCACGTAGGAATAAACAGTAAGCAGTTAGGAAACAGTTATGTAAACAGAATATAAAAAAAGACACCAAGTTAATTGGAGGATAGTTTGGTCAGGTAGAAAGAGTGAAAGTTGTTAACACACACAAAAAATATAAATAAAATCGAAATATTATAAAGCATTCAGAATTCCATATGCTTAAGTATTGCTTATTAAAACGAATTCTCATGCCCCAGCTGAAATAATATAAATGGCATATATCATTCACCAAAACAGTCATGCAAAAAAATTAATTAAATTAAAGCGAACATCCCCATTTCTCAGAGCCAGTGGACCAGTTTTGGCATATAATTTATTAATAAGAGTTTTTCCGGTACTCTACTTACTTCAGTAAATTACAACTTTTTGAGTTAGAGTAAATGGAAAGTAAAATATAAAAATAAAAATAAATAAAATATTATGATATGTAAAATGTACCAAAAATTTAAACTTAAAAAAAAAAAAAATTATTTATTATTAATCGTAAGAAACTACGGTCGATTAAAAATTAAGTGTCAAAATTATAAGAATCAGTATTTTGAATACGTCTTGAATCATCTAAGTTTTTTAACGATATAATAAATGATAATCTTTTGAAATTTGTATGTAATGGGTCTATTAAAAATTATTAAATTATAAATATCAGTTGTATTGAATAAATTGTAAATACAGAGCCTTCAAAAATATGAATTATAAGAAAAAAAAGACGCTAATAAATTAAACTTATTAAAGTATTTTATTGAATAAATTAAATAAAGACTTGAGACAAATATAATAAAATAATATTATATTTCTCAACTTGTTTCAGCTTTAATCAATTTCAACCATTGTAGGCGTTTGCCTGGTACACGTGATATACAATATATGGTTTATTTGTTTTGATTTTACAGTAAACTCGATGCTAAATCAGACAACCCAAGTCAATGCCATTTTAACCTGCACAAACTCAGACACACACATTAAGACACACTAATGAGTCGCGACTCGTGGGTGCTACAAGCCTTAGAGCCATAGACTATACGATAAACAAGGCGCTGCTTCTAAGCCAGCTACTAAATATGCTGCGTGTTAGTAATAAAACAAATAAACTGACACACACACTCTTATGTACAGAGAGTGTCCTATATACATCACTCACTCAACAGATATATAGGTGTTGCTTGTGTATATATGGCATATATAGCATTTGGTATATGTGAAAGCCTCAGGTGGCACGCTCCACTTCGCTTTCAGGTTTTTAAAGATTTTGTTTATACCCTGTACCCAATTAAATTATGTTCGGAAAAGAGAATAATTATGGAAGAAAAGGTTTTACTTTTTTTTTAAAGCACTCTATATTTTTGCAAAGTTAAATAATCGGTTCTTATAAAATACGCAGATCAAACATATCTATTTATTTAAGATGCCTTTCACATTGTGCAAAAATAAAATATTCAATTTCCCCAATAATTTTAATATATTTGACAGTCGTTTCTTATCACTGCAAATTGAATAATGATCGGACAATAAGCAAACAACTGAATTAAGAATACATTTATTATACCGCAGAATGTAGAGAAATAGCAAAGCCGTTTGCGATAGATCTAGTTGTACAGGGTATCATGGAGTCGAAAAGCATTACTTGGTTTCGTTATAGTTTTGGTTTCTCGCTTCTGGTTTCGTTTGCTTTTCGTGTGCAAAATCGCAGCCACATGGACTCTATCGATCGGAACTGTGTGGAACTGTTTGTTGTTCCCTGACGGAATGCTACATATAAACTGTTACTGTAACTGCCCTTGACTTGATGTTGTTGACGTTGTTGTTGTAGTAGGTGTAATCAACAATTTGCGACGCTGATTGACGAATGACGCCCGGCGCCAGCAATTCTCTGGCCCATAACTGACTAGCACGCATGTACGCAGTGAAGTGGTTGGGCCACCGCAGCGGGGGCTTTGATAAACAAGTATAAACTAAATAGAGTTTCTGAATAGTTGAACATATATATATACACCGACTGGAGACTTCTTGGCAAAAATATTTTCTTACTTTGCAGTCAATTTATAAAATGTATATGTATACAAATATTTTAAATATATACCTTTCACTTGCCAAATAGAACACGCTAGATGTTCATTAAACTTTAACCTTTGGAACCCAATCGCTAAATATAATTAAAGGCCCACATCACAGGTTTATACATACATAAACACTGTATTCAGCATATACACACCCCTCTAGCTAACGCGTCCAGTTCGTAATCCCCCAACTCGGCTCTTTTAATCGCACGCAACGCTGCCAAAAAATAATAAAACCCGCCAAATAAAATTTGTTAGCTTTAGATTATATTACTAGCTATTGTTGTTACTTGGGGACAAAACGCTAATGAACAGCGCACACGGCAGCCATTCGAAACCAATCTGATGCCTTCAAAGTAGAAGCAGCTCGAAAAAGAGCGCTACAAAATTGTATTAATATTATTGGATAAATTATAAATTATTTTCGATTTAAAGTAATTTATTTTGCAATAAATTATTATCTTTTTTAAGAACGTAAAACATTTTGCATCGCTTATATCCGGCTGACTTTGACTCTTATGAATAAAACTTTGGGGGAGTATTTGCAAAGATAATTTTTTTAATTATAAATAATTAGTTTTTGGCTTGGAATTGGTTGCCTGCTTTGAATATCGTTATTGATTTGTGGCATAATAATAAATTGTTGTGGTGCCACAAATTAACATGTACTTGTACCAACCCATATTCTGGACGTAAACAGGAAATGTCGGACATTAACGACAGCAATTTACTTTGGTTCATTGATTGTTCCGATTGCCCAGATTGTTTGGATTATTCGTTGTTTTTGGGGGAGCTCTGTAAGCTGTTAACTTGTTGTTAATACAAAACCAGCTATAACATGAACTGGGCTTAATTTAAGTTTATCAATAATCAAGAATGCAGCTGACAATATGATAATTTACCTGACAATTGTAAATGTAATCGAAGCCGTAAATTATTAGTATATATTTACGAAAACGCAAATAGTAGTATCGAGAATCTTTTGAATATACTGATCTTATAGGAAGTAATAATAAAATAACTAGTGATCCAGGAAATTTGAAATTAAATAAAATAGTTTTGAATACTTCATGATTGATTAATTATAATTTCCAAGTCTGAGACTATTGTTGCAAGATTAAATCTAAATTTTAATGAAACTGGCCATATTACTAGAAAATTATATAGCAGCGATCACAACAGGCATTGAAAAATGTCGTTTATCAAGGGAAGTTACACGTGAACGCAAGGAAAAAACGTTAATACCTAAATTGCGTAATCAATGTTAATGTCGAGCTTTTCAGTTTGCTGTTATACTGAGTGCTAGTGACTATGCTTGTCACAAAACTGGTAAGTAAATAAAAACAGATATGTATATGGACAGAGTGGATAACTTATGCGGAGCACATACCTCAGCACGCATAAAGAAGTGCACGGTATGTCGGCAGCCACTAACTGGAACTTGGCATGTGTGCAAATTTTATTATGCAGTTAAACTCGACTCGAGTTGAGAGTTAGACTGAATCAAGTGTAAAAAGCACTTGCAAAATCAAGAATCGCAAGCTCTGGCAGAGGCAGAACAAAGTACAGGTGGGCTCCCAGCCAAGCTCGAGTTGCAGCTAAAAAGTGCGCAGGCTAATGAAAAATGCAGATGCAGCAAGGGGGAGTGGAGGGACAAGCAGCCGCAGCTGGCACTGACACACGGAAAAGCGCATAAAGAAGGAAAAATCTACGAGTGGCGCTTAGACAATGCAGCTGAGCAACGAGGGGAAGTGGTAGTCGGGTGCTAAAGATGCTGCTGCCATTCAGGGACACAAACATTACAGGCAATTTCACTAAATGTCACTGAACGCCTTGCCTCTCCTCGCCAAACCCTTTACGGCCCCTTCACCTTCTGTTGTTCGACGACCGCTCTTTTGTTTAGCTGTCGCAGCCCTGGGGCAAAAAGCCTCAAGGTGTTCACAGCTCATGCGGCGAATGGGTTTTTTGTCTTTACAACCACCTCACAACTGGCACTGGGCCAGGGGCAAAGGGAAGAGTCCAGAGAGGCGCGGTACGTGCAAAACGGCTTTGCGGTAAATTTGCTACAGAAATCAGCCTTAAATATGTGCTTGTTCATGTCTAGGTCTAGGGTAGCAGGGTCCTGGACCAGTTCATTAAAGACAATAATGCTATGGGCCACTTCAAAAGACGCAACCGCAAGGTGACTCATCCAAGGGTCCTTCAAGTCAAAGGTTGCAGCAGAACGTGCTTGACCATGATTCGAGAAGCGGTCCAAAGAAA